CGTTAAACCCCATTTCATCTTTAATATGAGAAATTTAATAATAATAATAATAGTGTGTATTTATAATGCGCACATTCCATTCGTGTGTACTCGTGGCGCAATTGTCAGCTCTCCACATATACTTGAGAGAGAGAGAGAGAGAGAGAGAGAGAGAGAGAGAGAGAGGTTAACGTCCACTCGACACAAACTAGGTCATTCCGGGACTAACACATGGTTCAAATTTTATTTCAATAATTCGCTTGCGCGTAGGGGTCTTTAGCAGTGGGAAGAAACTGGAGGACCCGGAGAAAACCCACGATGGATACGACAGGCGACCATACTCACATACAACCGGGGAATCGAAACCACGCCAGTTGGCTCAATACAAGACCCCATGATACAGTGCGCACGTACTAACCATTCGGCCATCCAACATCCACCCCCCCCCCCCCTCCATACTTGGAAAAAGTTAATTATGGTGAAGTAAATAGATATGTCTTTAAATGTGACTTGAAAGATTCCAAGCTCTTGTTATTCTTTATTTTTAAAAGGAAGAGGGTCTCATGGTGTTGGTACTATGTAGGATAAATGACATGAAATGGGATTTAACGTCCTATTGCTCTGCTCCAACTGGGCTAATGAAGAGGGGGCTATGTAGCAGATAGCTCTGTGTCCAAACAATTTTGGTCTATAAGTAGGTACATTTAAAAGATATTCATTCGGCGATCTGAGAGTTCTTTGTGGTTTGTAGCCTCTTAGCAGGCCACTTAGATGAATAGGCACCGTTCCATTAAGGCATTTATAAGCTATACAAAGAAGTTTAAAATTAATCCTGTTTTTGACTGGAAACCAATAAAGATCTTTATACTTTGTATCCTTATACTTGCAGTAGTTCAACATTCATAAGTAATTTCTTAATAAACAACTCAAAATGATAAGTATGGTGGAGACCTAGAAATATGAGCAGCCACTATAGCTCATCATAACGTCCAATAAGACACTATACCAACAACAACAACAAAATATTCAATAAAGTTATTATTTGGACAATAATTGTTTCAACATGTCAATTCTCCAATTTATTTTTTAAATTTAACACAAAATTTTACGGAATACATTTAATGAATTTAATATCAGCAACGTTTCAACATTGTTGTCATCACGCAATATATGAGTACAGTTAGCAATTAGCCTATAAACGTATGCACAATCAAAACAATCTGCCGATTGATTTATTTTTTAAGCCACAAATTGGCAGGGACAAAAATGTTTCAACAATATTTACTTTTAATGATAAGTCGTTAGGGATTGCAGTTATAAACGTTTTAACGTTTAAAAAATAACAGTCGATTAAAACAACGTAATTTGATTGACAAATAAAAAGAAGTTGAAATTTACGAGGAAAACGTACCATTATTATGTTATATATAAGAATAGCTGATAAAGACGTTTTATATTTTCTTTTGTTTATTATTTTGTCTTAATGAGTGGCAATTTTAGTGATTTTTCTTTTAACAATTGAAGTTTAACGGGAATATATATCGTCTTAATTGTATACTATAAAAAAAGGGAGAATGAACATTGTTATTTTTTAAGAAACAAAAAAATAAATTAAATTGCAAATGACCCGAATTCAATATACACACAGAGGAGACAAATTAGAGACAAAATATAAATATTCAACTTTTACTAAATGTGAATAAACACTTGTGAATTAACGTGTGGCCTGTGATTTTTAAGAAAAATACTCAAATAAACTATAATTTAAGGTGAATAATAGTGTGTTGAAAGGTTTATAATGGCAATATTGTTATTAATTTATTTATTTATTTTTAAAAATAACCAACATACTATATTATAGCCACCTACAAACTTATAGAATCTTTCACATTTCTCAAATACAGCGTTTGAGAACTGTAATACGTGAATTGGTAAGCTACTAAAATAAACCTTGTTTGCAATAAGTGACGTTATAGAGAGATGAAAATAATGGGCATTATTCAATACGTAAATTGGTAAGCTACTAAAATAACCCTTGTTTACATTAAGTGACGATATAGAGCGATTTAAATAATGAATATTATTCAAAAATATTACAAGTACTGAAGCTAAAACTGTTAGAATTTCCAAATTAATAAACACATATATAACAATTAATGTGATTAAACTCTGATTAATGGCGACAACTTATTCCAAGAATTATTACCGCTTTAACCTGTAAATCCATAGTTTACATTAGGCCTAATTAAGTGACAATATAGAGAGACAAACAAAGGACATTATTGCAGGATACTGCATGTACCTGAGCTTAAACTGTTAGGATTTCTAAATTAATATACACATGTTCAACAATTAATATGAGTAAACACTGATTAATGATGATAAATTATTATAGTTTGTTTTGACTCGTTGCCGTTGGATTTATTAGGTATATATTTAACTATTATAAGTTCAGTATTCAAATATTGTTACATTCGTGAACTAATTTTAAAAAAATAAGAAAAACTTAATGTAGGCCTATACATTTCAATTTATATTTTGGTGCAAGAAAGGTAAAAGTTAAAGGCTCAATACCACTCTTGTTGTAACTGAATAATATGTCCCAATCTTTATTCTGGTCAACAAATTGTACTATTTTACAATATTCCAATTAATTGGTGATACAAATTTCATCTTAACACACCTAATTTAAAAAATTGGAAAAATTCAACTAAATGATTTGAAAATCCTAACGTAAACCTTTTCAAATGTGACTTGGATTTAAAAATATTTTCGAACCCTCTGGGCAAGTAAAATAGGATGTAATGGATAATTTACTCAACAGGTAGGACACTTGAACATCTAGTACTTAGAATAAGGCTATTATTTATTTCTGGAGCTGTCAAGCCAGCAAGAGTGTTATTGTCCCTTTAAACCCCATTTGATATCAATAATGATTTTTATGTTTATACAAATTAATGTTGATATACTATTTCTAAATACACATATTATTATTAACACATTCCGGTGGGAAAATACACACTTTATCAAACTAATTATTTATTTTGTAATTCGGGATTCTATATTTTATTCACTTTATGGTACTATATTTTGTAATTAGCGATTTTATACTATATTTTGTAAATAAGAAATTTTTATCTATTTATTTCATGGTAGTATCTACTATATTTTGTAATTCGGGATTTTATATTTTATTCACTTTTGTAATTAGAGATTGTATACTATATTTTGTAAATAAGAATTTTTATCTATTTATTTTATGGTACTATATTTTGTAATTAGGGTTTTTATACTTATTTTGTAAATACGAATTTTTCATTCTAATTATCTTATGGTACTATATTTTGTAATTAGGGATTCTATGTTTCATTTTACTATTTGGTACTATATATAAATCAATGTAAATAAGGTATATTTGTTTATCTGGAATAATATCAAAGCAAGTGGGACTAGGTGAGAAAAATAAAAAGACTACTTTAGAAATATTATAAAATCGAAAGGGTGTTGAATACCATCATATAGTATTTCTATGTACAAAATATATATTTTAGGGTAAAAATACAAATCGTGTTTACTGGTATATCAGTACAAAGTATTTCAATATTGTAAGAAATATTATAAACATTTTAACCCTTTAATCCGAAGTATGTTCATGAATGGATCAGTATAATCGTTTTATCTATTTTTCTATGCAAAATAATATAATATATGTTCATTGAGAAGTTGCATGGATACAAAATATATATTTTAATTTATGATTTATTAGTATATAAAAATAAACAATATATTAAATATTCAAACACTAAGTGGACGAGATATTAATATAAAATATATATTTGCGTAACTACAATTAAATTAAAATACTTGAGTAAGTAAGGAGAATACGTTTATGGTGTAATGTAATTATAAAACAATTATTAGATATTTCAACAACTGTAGTTACGAGACACAATAACATAAATATAAATTAATATTTAAAATGTATTTTTATATAACAAATTATTAGTTTGTTCTCAGATAAACACCGTCACTGCACACTATAAACAATGTATTTTTCTATTTCGCAATGTATTCGATATTTCTACAAAGATACTGAGTCACTGCACAGCAGATTAACATTTCAATATAAATAGATTAATAAACAAATAAACACCGTCACTGCACACTATAAACAAAGTATATTCCTATATCGCAACGTATTCGATATTACTACAAATATACTGAGTCAATGCACAGCAGATTAATATTTCATAATAAATATTTCTATATCGCAAAATATTCGATACTCCCCGTACAATAGATTAATAAACAAATATTCTATATCGCAAATTATTAAATATTTTTAAAAAATATGCTCAGTCGCTGTACATTAGTAGAAAAATAAACAAAAGATACATGATCACTGTTCAGTGGATTAATAAACAAAACACATTTGCATATCATAAATTGTCTTGAATGAAATTACAAAAGGTTTTTTTTTATATCTTTTAATGAAATAAAAATAAAACAATGTCTGATTTCAATATAATAAATATAAAAATTATAACACGTATATATACTAAGTATACTTTACAGTAAGTTAAGTTAAGATCGATATAGGTATATTTGTCCATTGTAGTCGGACAGGTGCTTATTTATAATTGCCTTGTCCTAAGAGCCAACACCTTTTTTTTTATTTTAATGAACTTTTTTTTCTCCACGTTTCTCCGTGTCTCGAACCAAATCTTCGGTATTCGTAAAACCAAGTTCTTTGACGAGTGGAATAACGTGAAACTTTCTTACAAATTTCTTCCTGACGCACGTAGGCAATTGAAGCACGTGCGTAAATCCATCCTAAATCATGTATGTTGTCCGATACTAAAACAATCATAGCTGTATTGACAAAATCGGAACAAGTCTGAAACTTGATATGTTCAGAACGTAATCATCAACCAGTGTGACGGACCACAGGCGGTATGAATATACCTGACTTACGGATTAAAAGAAAGTAGAAAAGGAGATTAGGAGAAATTATTACTTACCTTTCCTCGTCCTGTTCCATTATTTCTGTTCGTGTCTCCAAGACTGTCACACTTCTTCGCTATTCTTTTCACTACATTTACTCAAGTTGTGACCCCAGCAGTTCTTTGCTAGAGATCTTAGCGCCCTCTGACGGCAAAACCTCTCATCTCAGCGCATCCTATTGTAATGCTATGGCAATCAACATCGATTCGGCCAATCCCGATTTTAAGAAAGAGAGGAAAAATAGCTTTTTTTTTCAAGTAGAACTAAAGATCCCTAGGTTTGCAGACAGAATATTCCTGAATTTGCTATCCGAACCTTTCAGACTTTTAACACAGCAAAACTTTATGATATCACTAATTAGCGAACAACATCTTCCGTATGAAAACAATACGACCACAGTAGCTGCACCGAAATAAAGTATGCTACCTAAGCGAGTGTTTCATCAGTTCTTAAACGTGACATACGACCACCGAGATGGTATCAAAACACAGTAAGAGGGAAAAGCCTAATCTTCTATCTAACCTGAACATCACACAAACCAGCAAGGCCTACACTGAAAATCTAAACCAAAAATTTTCAAGACGAAAGTGAAAAGTTTAGCATTGAACATTGATGATGATGATACTGTTTACCGCACTGCCGTTCAACAGAACACACAAGTCTAACCAACACAAGTGAGGTTTGTTTACAATTTTGTGTCGATGGAGTGTTCATATTTGCATTTTGCAGGTGGGTAAATTTCTAGCTATTGTTTCATTAGTGTTAAATACCGAAATCGTCTTCAGTCAATCCGCGACGCCAGGTGAGGCCATGGAGACTTTTTCATCCACATTTCTCAATTTGTTGACGAATTCATAAAATATAATAAAATGTTTGAGAGAGATGTGACTTCTTGTAAAAGCAATTGAAGGTTTTGGTTTCTGGAAATTAACAGATTATTATAAATTGATTAATCTGTTAAAAGATAATCCATTTGTACCAGAATATTTCTCGAGCCCCTCTTAAGAGAGATGTGATTTTTTGTAAAACAATTCAGGGGTTTTGTTTCTGGAAATTAATAGATTAATATAAATTGATTAGTCAGTTAAAATATAAAAACGGGACCTCGGTTTATTGTCCCATCCGAAGGATTAGCCACCAAGCTTGCCAAAACAATTTTTTGAAGCACTGGTGCATAGGGGGTCAGGAGAGGTTGTCTCCTACTGAACGTGAGAAAAACTTTGAATTTCAGCACACCTTAGATGAGTTTTGCGATGTGACAACTTTGTACCTTGAGTCACAAGTGTGATGTTTACCTTAATATGTGTTTTGTCGATTTGGGTCAAATGGATTATATTATAAAAATAATTTTATGGCGATAATTTGAGAAAGCAAATAATCTACACGAAGGTTTCCTCCCTCAAATGAATTCGACAACAAATTAAGAAGTTTGTGTAATGAGCAGGACATTTTTAGTAAGTCATGGGGAAAATCTTGTACTGCTGAAACACATTGGCCGACTGCTTAGTAGACAAGTATCGAAGCAGTAACATCACACTTGTGACACAAAAGCACAAGGATTTCATATCCCAACATTCTTCTAAGATAATTCATAAGTATTCATAACTTATACGTATTGGCCATTTTTTGCATTCTAGAACACCGGATAAAACTTTAATCATATATGTTAACTAAAATCACACCCAGTGTATGATATCCCAATCAAGATCACCCGATACTACTTCTTAATTTTCGCGGGAGGGGGGGGGGCGATCTAATGGATTAACGCGTGAATCCATAATGTCTGTCATTGAGTGAAATGACTTGGTTTTGTTTCCCCGCTTGTACGTAACAAGGAGTAGGTTCGCTGTGGGTTTTCTCGGGGTCCTCCAGTTTCTTCCCACAACTAAAGACCCGTAAGAGAAAGCGAATTATAGGAATAGGTTTGTATTCACGATGCAACCACCGACACGAAATGAAATGAAATGGGGTTTAACGTCCTACTGTTCTGCTCCTAACCTGGGCTAATGAAGACGCAACCGTGTTCTAGTCGTTCATGCCCGATTACAGGTCGGGATCGCGATATGACATAGAAGTTCTAAACGAAACTGCTGTCAACAGGAGTACTTACCACCAACCTCGGTGATGACTTATAAAGTTGATTCTCCAGTCTTTCCTCCGAAAAGAAGTCGTGTTCTTACTTCTCTGCACCATTTCAGTGTACTTGTGGTTATGCAGTCGCCGAACCATTGGCGGTTATTCTTAGCCGCAGTACTTAGGGTTAGCTTTAGGGGGTGGGGTTAGAGCAACTATTTTATTGGGACACTGTATAATAAACAAGCACATCGAGTTCTTGGTAGCTTTGGTGAACGAGGGATAGGGCTATGGTTAGATCACCAATGCTTCAAAAGTATTTACGAGGTAATCGAAATACTTAAATACAGTAGTTACGAGGTAATCTTTATTCGTAAACATTGTAGCTATGAAATGAAATGAAATGGGGTTTAACGTAATACTGTTCTGCTCCTAACCTGGGCTAATGAAGACGGGCATACGCAATTTACATTTCCAAAAAATAAAACGGACATTGCTTTACGGCTTCATTTTCCAATCTTATGGGCGACATTGATCGTTATGGTGGAAACATCCAGAGAACATCCATTGTTGTTGAACAAGGTTGCACTTCCTGTGTGAAAGCCTAACATCCCAGTTCCCAAATTTAGCAGACCTGATGCTTTTTTTGTAATAACCCCCAACCCACTCCCCAAATACAATACAATGCACCCACCACGCCCACTGACTAAACAGTCCAATAGAAAATATTGATATATTTGCTGCACAGCTTTGGGCAAAAGAAGCGTTAAAACCATATGTCCAGTATATGGCCCAGAAACATGAATACGGTAAATAAGTTTAAATGTTCAAATATGTATAATCAATCTTTTAAGGCAGCATCTTTCAGCGATCTTTATCGAAATTACGGTGACAATATTGTGAAGGGAATATCGAATAATTGATCTTTTGTTTTGTTTTTTTTTATTTTGAAGGAATGTGTGTCATGCAATCTCTGTTGATAGGAACCGATCTTGTTTTATTTAAACAGTCAACGATTGGGGTACCCGAATGTGTATAACCCGAGTTAACTTATTCTGAGGCATGGGTTCGATACCCGACCTGACCATCGATCCTTGCTGTGTGTGAAGACAGTGGAGGTCTGATGAGATAATCTAGTATTATCTAGGGATTTCCAGTTTACAAAGGGGTGGATAATAATGCCACGTGGATACAATGCTTTTAGCCATTTAACTAGTTGGGAGCCATGGCGGTTCGATGAGTAAGACTTTGGCTCGCTAACCTGGCGGCCCCGCCGTGTTCGATCCCAGTGTTGACCGAGAAAGTTTATCGCGTGTTGTCAGTGGTGCAGAATGGAGGGCCTTGCAAGGGACAAAGTGTAGTCGTTCGGATGGGACGACAAACCGAGGTCCCGTGAACACATTGGCGTGCATGCAAAAGAAGCCTTGAAAGATGGAATTCGAAATTTGAGTAGGCCGTAGTGCCACTTGTCCGGGCAGAATTTCCTTCATAGCAATAGCATACTGTATGAAGTATACCTGTCTTCATTAGCCAAGTCGGTGTAGAGCAGTAGGATGTTAAACCCCATTTCATTTCATTTCTTAATGCTGGTAAAACTAACGACGAGGATCTTCTATCGTCAATAATAAAACTTTGATTTAGTTTTTCTTCTGGCGCCACTAATCGTAAACACAGATGAACCCTTTGTTTGTTTCTACGACATTGTACAATGTTTGGTTGGCATTTGACAGACGATTTATATAAATTTGGATCGTTTTTATCGTTAATAATTGTAATTGTTTTTTTATTTAGTTTAATTGTGGATGAGTTGACATTTGACCCATATTTATCTCTAGTAATTATTGTGATTGTCACAACATTTGGGTTTTTTTTTTAAAGAAAGAAAGTGAATTGTAAAAAAAATGTTGATTGACTCATCTTCTAATATTTGTTTTGTTGGGTATTTTATTATGTGATATTTAAAAAACCCCGCTCTACCGACCTGTCGGGAGCCAAGGTGGCTAAATCAAAGTTCTTCTGATTGGCAGTTAATTTAATTTCACATTCCAAAATAGGTTAAGCTAATGAGGAAAAGAACAATATTTTTGTAGTGCATTTAAGGATAACGTTATTTATAACCATTGTGTTTAATTAAACATACATTATACAAGAGCTAAAACTGTCTATTGTAGGTCTTTCTTTAGGCCTGAAATGCTATCTAAATTATTAATTAGACATTAATTAACTTATCCAGACCATAACCAACTCTAGGTTATGCTAGCCTGCGATCTTTAGTGGATTATGAGCCGATTTACTGCATAACTTTCCTTCACGATTTATAATCGAGACTATGCTGTTTATCGTACTGACTTTCGTAATGATGATCGAGGCTAAGCGGAAATTTCAACCGCTTAGTTCTCGGTTCATAGTGGATCAATTTGAATGAAATTTTCAGTAAATTGCCTTTACATTATCTAGTTTTTAACTATTGTAGTGAGAACTGCCAACTCGTTATCGAATCTCACATAATGTATCTTTAAGAATAAATGTTACCTCGTAAATACTTTTGAAGCATCGATGATTCTTAACTCATTTAGGGATACTGGGTGGTCGAATGGTTAACGCATGCGCGTCGGATCATAAGTCCTGTCACTGAGTCAAGTGGCGTGGTTACGATTACCCGCTTCTACGTGACAAGGAGTAGGGTCGCAGAGTCCAACCTTGTGGGTATTCTCAGGGTCTCCGTTATTCTCCCACTGTTAAAAACTCCTGCACGCAAGCGAATTATCGAAATAAAAATTGACCCATTATGTTAGTCCCGAAATAGCCTATTTTGTGTCGAGTGGAGGTTAAACCCCATTTCTCCCCCGCCCCCGACTCATTTCAACTACTGGATTAGAATACAGGGCCCCAAAAGAAAGTCTAACCATAACCCTAAATATTGTGATTTCGAACAACCTCTTAAAACATTTAATTAGACATTTCAAAACAGCTAAAGGCGTTTTGTGGGTTTGTTTTGCTCTACTAAACATAATAAAAAGTTTTAAGTGCAGAAAGCAAAGCAATACCACGATACATCAAAGTTTTAAGCTTCCTTGGATGATTTTACAACAAAAACTCAAGAAAGATAATGCTATATAGTGTGTAGAAGGAACGTTGCTAATGTCAATACAAACCTCACGAAAATCTTTCTAAACGTTAAACGTGGGTAACTCAACAAATTGACAGAAACATTTTCTTCGTGACCCAAATTCTTGCAATTAAGTGCTATTGATAGTGCAGGTTAATTTGTTTATTTCATTGATTAATTCCTCTCGGGTTGAACAGTCACAGGGGCATTCTTTACACCGAATGGATAAAACGTTTCGTTTCAAACCGTTGAGAATAGAAATTTCACGTATCAATGAGCGGTCCGATAAGGACCGACAAGAGCAGGATTTTTATTTTGGTGAATAATTTTCAAAGTATTGCAAAAAGTGACTGACAAGGAAAATTAGGTTATTGGTATGCAAATCATATCAAAAATTTAACAGATTTCATAAAATAATCGACAAAATTATGGGTAAGTGAAACTGACAATGTGAATAAATAAGTTGTAGTATCAGGTGCTAGTTATTTGAATAACTGACTTGTATCGAGTGTTCTATGTGTGAAAATTGTTAGATTTAATTGGGTTATTTCGAGTGTTCCAACCATAGAAATTTTTAACTTTGAATAAATTGGTTGACTTATGTATTCTATAAATATAAATTGTTTCTTATGTGAATAATTGAGTTATATAGAGTGTTTTAGTCACAGAAATTGCTGGTTATGTACATAATTGAGTTGCTGCTGGGTTTTTACGTCACAGAATTGTTAGCCATGATACGAAATGGGTTTTTCGGGGGGGGGGGGGGGCGAGTATTCTGGTCATAGAAATTGTTAGTTATGTGAATAGATGAATTGCTGTGAATGTTCTAATCAGAGAAGTAGTTAGCCATGTGAATAATGGGTTGTATCGGCTGTTCTAAGCATAGAAATTAAGTTAATTTTCTTTCTTTTGGCATTTTTTTTTGGGGGGGGGTGCTCTAGTTACAGAAATTGTTAGTCGTGTGAATACCTGAGTTGTGGCAAGTGTTCTATTCACAGAATCGTTGGCCATGTGAATAAATGACTTGTATTGGATGTTCTATGCATATAAATTGTTAGCCATGTGGATAAATGACTTGTATCGGGTGTTCTATGCATGTAAATTGTTAGCCATGTAAATAATTGAGTTGCACCGGGTGTTCTAATTATATAGTTTTTAGCTATGTGAAGAAATGAGTAATGTCGAGCGTTTTATGCATATATATATTGTTAGTTATGTGAATAATAGGGATCTAGTCACAGAAAGCATACTCTAGACTCGATACTCGTCACTTATTTAAAGCTAATCCAGATAATCGAGTGGACTTGGATTTTTTTTTTTTTAAAAAAAGAGTTCTGGGCAGCAAATCTACTCGAAAATATAGTACCAAGGACAATCAAGTCCATAATTAGAAAAATCTAATCATTTAAGGTAAAGGAAATGTGTGTTATGTTTAATTTCAAAGAGATCTAAAATCAAGAATTTGGTTGTTTAAATCATGTTGTACCTTGAGCGAGGTATTACATATTGGAAGTAATTTTATTATGTACCAAGACGACGTCGACTATTTCATCATATCACATACCCTACGTGTAGTACATTGTCAAAGGTGTTACGATAATCTGTAAAGGGGTATTAAACGTGAAATCGACACCTGAATGAGTTAATGTCAACCAGGTACAAACCATTTCATTTCTGAAAAAATTTTTTTTGATGAAATTTGATTTTGAACTTGGAAACTTTCTTTGATAGCCTTTGGTGTGTTACTTTTCGCTTTATATGATTATATGTTTAGTTTATTGAAACGACATTATCTCCAAACATAAGCACTTGAAAATATGAAGGGGCGTTTGAAAGCCCGTATGGTAAAAGGTTTTTAAAACAGGAAATTTAACACAGGGAACAGACAATTTTATTTTTTAAATATTTTGACGGGTGTGGACAACACGTGGATTTTCTGTAATTAACAATATACCTATGATTACACTCTGCTAGAAATGTGATCTAAAATATAATATTATTGTAGGAAATTATTTGTATGAAAATATATATATATAGTCATTTATATTGGATATAATATTTAGCCTGTAAGGCATGTATGGCTAGGTTTAAATATCATTAATGGGTCTCTTTAAGGTTGATTAAGGTCGGGACTGACTGATTCTCTCCTAGCATCCAGAGATCATGACAAAGTTGAAAAGGTTGTTTGTTCTCACATTTTGTTTCACCTGTTTTCTCTTTGATCTTCGCCGTCTCTTTACTAGTGTTTTCATTGCGATAATCCGTTTAACACCTAAATCAGCACAGACTATACATGTGGTGATCGGGTGGGGTTCGTGTACAGATGATATACAAACGACTATACACCTTTACTCATTTATACTGAAATAGTTTCAATTAGGGGGAGATAAATAGGGTATAACGCCCGCTCGACACAAACTAGGTCATTTCAGGACTAACATTTGTTTTAATTTTATTTCGGTAATTTGCTTGCGTGTCGGGATATTTAGCAGTGTGGGGGGGTACCGAAGGACCAAACTAAAAGCCACAAGGCTGGACAGGCCATCCTACTTCTTGTCAGGTAGGGATCTGAGATTAGGGGTGCTTAACGCATTATGCCCGTTTATACTTTCACTCTGAACTCTGATAATATGCCAAGTGCCAGATCTGAAAATGGAACTGATACAGATTTATACTTTACTTTGAAAAGTGATGGTATTTTACCCTGATCCCTGAGAATGTGCTATTTCCATGGCGTAGAAAAGGAACTGATAAAGATTCAGTATTTGGTTATGCAAATTCATACTTTCATTCTGAATCCCAAGAATAGTTCAAGTTCCAGGGATGGCCAATCTGATTAAAATACAGATTTTTATACTTTCGATGGCCTATACTTCATAAAGATCTGACAAGTTGTACTATAAGGTCGTGTCAGGGTTCGTACAAGCGGCTTTTGACCCTATGACGTCAGACATTGATTAATCTATTAGTGTTGACGTTTCTAGTGGTTTACCCACAGTTTCGTGCATGGCACGCCAAGAGGTCGCTGGCTTACCCCTTACTTCAACCAAAACGCCGGTAATATAACAACTCTTCCAGATCCTAGTGTAGTGAAGACAAGTAAAACTAAATTTTGAACTATAGAAAACGAAACGAAATGGGATCTGTGTTTTAATCAGATTGAGGGATGACAGGAGATTATCAATTATGTTCATCTATTCAAACAAAAAAATGGAAATGGTACCATAGAGTTATAAAAATCGTGGCAAAAAGCTAAACCAAGTTATAGTTTGTAGCTGAGATTTCAGAAACCATACATCCAATTAAAGATTCGGGAATATTTCGGGTTGAACATGGAATGGAAGTCGTATATTAGTAGGTCTGCTTATTGCTCTGCATGTCGAAAAGTAGGGTTGGGGTGATTAATAACAATATTTCTACTTTAAAAGGTCACTATATCATTATGTGTCGCGTCTTTCACATACGTTATTAGCTATGAAAACTTCCCATTTATATCGGAAACGACATCATCTGTTCTAGAAGAGTAGAGGGGGTTGGATAAGCATGAACCTCTCTGGTTGTACCGGATCTGAATACATTTTTTGATCGATGATTTAAAGTAAAAATGGATAATTGAAACTTTGTGTATTATCGTACCAACGGTAGTAATGGCAATCGAGGCTATCCTAAAATTGAAGCAATTTGATTGAAATTTTCAACATATTCTGTTTTGATTATCTATTTTAACCATTATGGCGAGAACTGTCAGCTTTTTATCTAATTTTACCTAATGTACCTTTAACATAACACATGCTTATTAAATACTTTTCAATTATTTTCCCCGTTGAAACGTTGTTGGGTGGGTTTTTTTTGGTTTTTTTTTTTGTCTTCGGGAGAGAAATTTAGTTAAAGGTTGCACCAGCAGCAACCTTTCTACAACTGACCCATTTGATACACCTGTGATATCATTAATTTCTGTTCAAAAAATAAAACTTATGTAGGTGTTTCAATAACTATTATTGGCCCCTCTCACTTTGTTTATTTGTTGGTGATGTTTTCTTCTGATCTTGGGATGGTGCATTAGGAATGTTTTTTGTTTGTTGTATTTACATAAGCTATTGCTGAACGACGTAGATCTAAATTTGACATCTATCCACCGTTATGATGAATTAGTTTGTCATGTGCTTTGGATCAAAACATTTTTTGTTAAAATAAAAACAGAAATAACACAAACAAAAAAAATTAAAATAAAATGCAGATAAAAAATATCAGATAAAAGCTAAAATAAGGTAGAAAAGTTTGTTGTTTTTTTATGTGTTAGCTGAGTTATCAACAAAATAAATGGGAGAGCCAACATGGCCCCCAACATGGCTCGATGAGTAGGCAGTTGGATTAGTAACAAGAAGGTCCCCGTTTCGATCCCTTTGTTGGCCGATAAAAAGATCAGATAAAGCTAAAATAAATTACAAAAGTTTGTGCGTTTTTTTTTGGGGGGGGGGGGGGTAAAATGAATTTGTTAGCTGTGTGCTCATCCTGATAAATGGTAGAGCCACAATGGCTTGGAGAGTATGCCTTTTGTTCACTAAACAAAAGGTCTCGGGTTGGCCGACCAAGATATTTGAGATTATTTTTCAGTCTGGTATATCTTGTCAATGGGACATTACAAAGGGACGTTACGTGTATTCAATTGGCAGTACGATAAAGACCCAATGGCTGTAAAAACGAGAAAGCAGAACAAACCGTTGCGCTGCTATCGGGGAAAAATTCCCTCATAGCAGACTGCACGGCGAATTTCATTTTTCATTAGCCCAGCTGCTGCAGAAAAGTAGGATAATAAACCACATTGTACTTCCCTTAATAAATGACACGTGACATCAGGTGTTCTAGAAAGTAAACATACCAAGAATTAATCATTCATTCTGCCGTATTCCCAAAGCTGAAATGATGAATTGATTAGACCTTCATTTTTTTCTGTATTAAAAGAGCTAACAAAATATGTGAGAAAATCCTAGTTTAATTGCTACTAGCGTAATCTGACATCAAATTGAAGTATGCAAATGTGCCGGAAATCATGTCCGAGTGTAAGGAGTCCATTCATTGGTTGTAATACGTGGATGTGAAAGACTGTATGTGACTTCTGGCGTTGAAGAGCTGTTGTTAGTCTGCTTGAGGTTCATGATTATGGAAAATCCGCCGGCTTGTCTTCGATAACAATATTCCGCTTGTGCAATACGTATTAAAAAGACCCTTCATTCTCACGTTTCGCGTTAAATAGCTGAGTTTGAGGAAATTTGACGACGGGAAAATAAAGGAAAAGCATGAATTTAACTACCCATGACCAAAACCCTAGACACGTACAAGAAACTAATAGCCTTTATATGCTGGTAGAAATTCACCCAGTCTGAATAGTCGCTAGAAAACATTGGATAGATATGATGCTACTCTCAACGGATTTTATTCAACGTGAATTAACTATGAATTCTTCTTGATTACGTTTTAAAATTTAAATTTAAGGTAAGGTACTAAGAAGAAATTGAGAAATTTTGGGGTTAAATTTATTGTCTGGACTTGATCCTTTTGTATCCGTAACATCTAACCAAGTTATTCTAAATGGTTGACTTTTGACTTGGGACAGTTACCACAATACTTCGGTCATTTTCATATGGTATTTTTGCTTTTGAAAGCGACATGGGGAAGGAATTTTTTCTGCCTACATTTTGTTTTAAATTCTAAGTTATTTACATTCGCGCACACTAAACACACAGTTATTGTCAGTTTCGAGGATCTTGCCGACCGGACAAGTGGAAATCCGGTTTAAAATATCATGCTGAGGTTCAATCCGGGGACAGTCTAGACAGGAACTAGGCTCCCTAACGATACTACTAACTCGGCCTTCAGTTTAGTTTCAAAGTACTTCGGTCTTCAGTGCGTTTTTGTAATATCTTTAACATCTCTTTGAGATTTACAGATCAATAGTCAGAAAAAAAATAATGTTAATTTTATTTTTATTTATTTATTTTGTTTTGATTTTTTTTAGACGTATTTGTTTTTAAATTTATGTTCTTTTGATTAGAACGTACGTAGCTTACTTGTCACCTTACTAGTCTTATTAAATCATTTCATTAAGAGTAGTATCATCATCATCATCATCATCATCATCCTCATTATCCTTTTGAAATATTATTCTGTTGAAATTATATATATTTCAAAGGAAATAGTACTATTCATTTATTCTGTAGTATAATGCTATTTAATACATCATGACAGGCATCATAAATCCCCAAAATGTAGTTAATTGGATGTATTAAAAAGTTTTAAGGCCCATCATCATGTTCGGAATAACAAACCTTAACTCATACACCGCTCCGATTTTCATAGCGGTAAAATTGGTTGACTTTGGCATAAACAAAATATAGGCGCAACTGGAGTATGGGATAATTTATGTAAATCTACCCACAAACACACGCACACGTAATTTTGTAATTTCACGATAGGTACAATATCAAATTTCTGTCGGCTTAATCCACACTAATATGTACTCAGATTGATTATTTAACATTTAATTAAAGAAAACAAAATCAAAATAACAACGCTAGACAATGTCTCGGCTTGGATTCAATCGGTTTTAAGATAGGCCTATCAGTAAATTTTCGTGGACAACGAAATGCGAGCAGCATAAATACCGAACGGAACGGAACCATTTTTGGACTGATAATATTAGAGATTCACCTTTCACAATATCCTAGTTTGCAATTAATTCCTATTGCTTAAAATGGCGCATCGGGTAAAACTCCATTAATTGAATTCGTACTTTATGATAGTGTTTTAGGAACCGTTCCGAAACAACAAGTTTGAGACCATTACGCTTTTTTTTTTAAATCTTAGTCTAACCTTTTGAAATTTAACGCTAGTGATGACTGCAAGAGACAGGGGTCGTGCAAGTAAAAGATCCACTGGAATTAATATTATAATTAATATTAATATGACCGATTTATTTTATTGTATATATTATGTTAACTAGAGACATTACTACTACTACTACTAATAATAATAATAATATATCCATATTATATCAACATTTATAAAGCGCATATACAATAATTCTAAGGTTTCTAATGCGCTGCTGGTTCCGGGGATATCACCAAGCAGAAATGTTTTGAAATGGGATTTAATTTAATTCAACCGAAAAAGCCTCCATGTGTGTTTATCTCATTTACTAATTTTTTGGTATATTTTATCTGTGCCTTTTTAAGTTTTATCAATTTGTTTTACCAAATATTTTACTTTGTTTATGACATCTATCTGTATCGTTTTATATTGTGTACTTCTAATTATATATTCTGCTTTTGTGCAAGTTCAATAATTTATTTATGACAGCAACTTTTATAGATAAAGAAACCTTTTGACATAATAATGATCAATATCTTAAACGTGAATAAATTTTTAAAAAATGGATATAATATATTATTTTCATTTCTTAAAAAAGCGTGGTGTTGCATGCGGGGGATTAAAATATTTTGAAATGAAACATTCATGAAACATCTTAAAATCTGTATGTTAATGATAACGAATTAACACGAATAAAGGATTCAAAATGTGTATTTCAAAATAATACAAATTATATATTTTAGATAATTTTCTCAAATAGTAAATTTCTTAGCTTTCGATTTATTTCTCTGGTAATTAATTGAAATTAATTGGGGAATTTTTTACCGTGGATGACATCAATAAATCAATCAATCAACACATAATTTGTATAGCGTAAAAATACTTCGATAAAGTTCCTAATGCGTTTTTAAGTTTATGTGAATTCTTTTACTGTTTATTTTCGTCAAATAGATGTGTTTTCAAACGTGACTTGGCGATGTCTAAGAGATGTTTTATTCTTTGATGTCTAAGGGTAGAGAATTCCAGAGAAAATGCGCTGCAAAGTGAAAAGATCGTTTCGTCTGTTGAAGTTTGACAGCAGGAATAATGGCTTGTTCTGTGATTTTTAGGTCCTACTGGATTCATACGGTGTGAGTAGATCTTGAATATATTGTAGTACTAGATTATTGGGTGCTTTAAAAGTCAGTAACCGAATTTTGAATTTGATGCGCTGATTTTTGGGCAACCATTAATCATGGTTTAATTTGATCCATTTTCCTGGTTCCATGGAATAGTCGAATTGAAACATTCTGCACATATTGAAGCTTCTGCAGCTGCCTCTGTGGTAGACCATACAATAAAGCATCATAGTAATCCAGCCTTGAAGAGATCAAAGCACAAACGAGGAGTTTTAGATTTTTACACGTTAGGTACTTCTTTATCTTTGCTAGTTTGTAAATCTGGTAAAAAGTTGAGAAAAAGATAGTTTGGATGATAGCACCTATGTTATTTGCCTTGTTTGTTGGTTGAATTAACTCACCGACAATCGAAAGGCTGCTCGTGTTGATTGTGTTGAGATGTTAAATGGTGCCGATGTAAAGGACTTCAGTTTTGTCTGGATAAAGTTTTAAAAAATGAAGAGTCGTCCAGTTGTAAATTTCGTCTAAACAGCTCTCAACATCCTGAAGAATTGCTGTGTCTAATGATGTATAATTGTGTATCTTCTGCGAACATGTGGACACTAGGTCCATATTTCTGGACTACAGTCTATTGCATTAGGTGTTCTCGTGAACATTATAAATAAGACAGGTCCCAGGACTGATCCTTGAGGACCTGAACCCTACAAGGACGGATTATGGAATTGCGGTGTCTTGAGCCAAACACTACGCAAGGACTCCATGGTAGAAAACAATACGCTTAATGCTCTTGATTATCAAATATTTTATTCGATGTATCACTTTTTATTTTTCGCCATTTTATTTAATTACGAGAATAAGTTTGCGTAAGAATTTATTTGTTAATATGGAATGCATCGCCAAGTGTAGCAATGATTAATATTCTTTAAAGCACTATCTTTTTTCCTTTCCAACAGAGTTCGCTGTATCCCTTAAACGCACGGGGTCAAGGAATATTTCTACTAATATTATGTTTTCAAGTATGGTGTGTCGAAGTTTTTCTTCGGTTCATTTTCTGCAAAATAAATTTCCAGATAAATGTGGCAAAAATTATTTTGTATTATTGCGTTGTTTTATTCTTTCTTTGATTCGTTGTGCAGTTTTACGGTCATTTAGTTTCAAATTTTTAAAGTCGCCGATGGTCATTATAAATTTTCGGACAATATAATTATATATTTTTTCAACGCTTAATGCATACTAAAATGTACGCAAATCGATTATTTAACATTTAATTATGATATTAAGATATCAACCGTAGAGGCCCATCAAAAGATTTTACACACCACTCATTGTTGGCACTGTCTTGTTTATATCGGTGACTCATTGAGTAGGACGTTGCCTAGCTAACCTGGAGATCCCGTGTTCCATCCCTGCGTTGGCCGAGAAAGTCCTGTCCTGAGTGGTGCAGGACAGAGGTTCTGGCAAGGGACAACGTATAGTCGTTTGGATGGGACGAAAAAAAACGAAGCCCCTTGTACACATTGGCGTGCACGTATAAGATCCCTTCACAGTTGGGTTTCCTTCATACATGTAGCACACTGTATGGCGTATGCCTGTTTACATTACCCCAGCAGGAGCAGAACAGTAGGACGTTAAACCCCATTTCATTTCTGTTTATATCGTCTTCAGAGAATGCCGAATGTTGCAAACTTTCAATTTCATCATATGGACTGATATTCATTTTAGAGATTCGACTTATAAAGGATTAAAAATCCCTTGAATGACGAACATAGTCTTTAAATAATTTGACCAATATCTTTGGGGGTTTTCTGCCTTTAGTTCTTATAAAAATATTGTTTGTGTCGAGTCCCGTGTTTTTGTTTTTTTTTTGGGGGGGGGGGGTGCCGAGGTGGGGTTTTTTTTTTTAAGTTTTCAGCGTTTTTTTTCTGGTTTCTTTTCCAGTGTTGAGTCTGTGATTTGTATTGCCGAGACCCGTGTTTTTTACTGTTTTATTTGTATTGCCGAGACCCGTGTTTTTTACGGTTTTATTTCGTATTTTCTGTGTCGAGTACCGGTTTTATTCCTCCCTTTTTTGTTTTGCATATATACGGAATGTATGCTATACAAGGCTACCCCTAGGGTGAAAGGTATGACAGGTTGCGGGGTGGATAAATAAGGGGGTAGGCTAAGTTAAGTTACCGAAAAACATTTATTTGTAATTTTATGCATTTTTCCACTTAATCCTGATTTTTTGGCTGTTTATATTCTTTGGTCTATATCATACGAAACTTACGCCGTCTACCTACAATTTGCTCCAGTTACGAACAGACGCGAAACTAGTTACCCGACAGTTTAATTCTTATATCGACGATTTTAGTAGTAAACTCTAATTCGCGAAGTCTGGGAATATTTTTGCGATGCTTTTGTTTTCATATTTAATGAAATTGATGATGGTTATTTAGTCTTTGTGTGCATGAAAGGTGTAAAACGAATTAGAAGCCCATAACAAAAGAGAACATTAATTTTTCAACATGGCGGCCATTCAGGGCAGAGTTCTATTTCCAAAGACTAGATAGTTCTCTGTGAGCAGAATATGTCTACATGCAACATGCAATCATTCAGTTGTAATGTATTCGTCTATCATTATCTTTAACTCTGATTGGTCGGTTGTTAATGGCCAATATCCGAAATATAACTAAATACACCCCGGAGGATAACCACGGTGATGTAATAACATTTCTCGTGAATTAATTTGAGAAAGTGGCATTAATATGATACTCATAATGAAATCAATGAAAAGGATTAAGCTTTCCATTTCATGCAAATTACTTAGCAGGCCTCAGTAGCGCCCATTGCTCGCCTTGAAACACGTCTTATAGACACAGTGTAATCTCGATTTGCTGGATTTAAACAATTTGCCGTGACTCTGTCTCTAGATCGTGATCAATCTCGGTGATTACTTATCCGGCAGAATTTGTCCAGTAAACTTGGCAAGGTAATGGTTAACTTAGACAATCGTGCCAAATAGGCGAAATGTTGAGATGTCAAGTTTGGATTGCCTGCTTGAAGTGTGCTCATAAGCTCTTACCCTGTGTTTAGCCTGCTATATTTGGTGGAGATGTATGAAAAGTTGTTTAACCGAAGTCATTAGACATCTAAACAAATTATTTGACCAAACAACTTGCTTTTCTCATCCTTTAAGTGGTCGTCGTGTTTGATTTTCTAATTTAGTTTTATCTCTAGACGTCTGCATGGTGTTTTGTAACGCTGTCTGCGATAGGTCAGACATTATCCGAAAAATTGATAGTATCTATTAATAGTAATTGGATGAAAGGATTTTGGATTGATTACGTAATTCTTGATCTGCTTTTTGTTTGATATTTTATATTTTGTAACGATGTCTGTGATTGGTCTTATATAACGCTAACATTGAAGGATAAGAAGCGTATTATGTTAATAGTAAGTAATTGGGTGCAGACTTTTGGAATGATTACGTAATTCCAGAACTACTTTTTGTTTGATATTTTATATTTTGTAACGATGTCTGTGATTGGTCTTATATTACGCTAACATTGAAGGATAAGAAGCGTATTATGTTAATAGTAAGTAATTGGGTGCAGACTTTTGGAATGATTACGTAATCCCAGAACTACTTTTGGTGTGATGTTTTATATTTTGCTTAGTTCTTTGTTGGGATTTGTTTTTTCTTAAGATGTATGCGTAGTGTTTTAGTAACGCTTAGGTCAGATATTACTCAATACAATTCGGGTTGATGTTTTATATTTTGTTTGTTTTGGAGTTGTTCTTACCTCTAGAGGTATCCATAATGCTGTCTGTGATAGTTAAAATATTACGCTAAAATAGAAATTCGATGAAGGGTTTAGAAATGATTACGTAAATCCCGTTAATGGGTTAATGTTTTTATTCTTTGCTTAGTTTATTATTTCTTTCTCTAGACGTCTGCGTGGTATTTTGTAATGCTTCTTGCGATTGGTTAATTATTTTGATGTTTTTTATTGTCATAAGTATATTTAGATTTCTAAACTAGACAAATGCAGATTTTATGTTCGTAAATATACTATGTGTGGAGGCTGTGTGTGTATGTGGCTGCTTCCTTTACAACAGTGTCTAGTCTTCGTTTCAGGTTCTAGCCCAAAAAAAATTCTCGAGAATTTACAATCTGGTTCCCCCTTGTCGGTGGTGCTGCACGAATTTGACATCGAAGCCATTCTTCTAGGAACAAAATTCTTATCTTGGGATGAAAAGGACTTTTTAAAAAGAATATGTGAAACGTTGCCAATTTTTTTCTGTATCTCTGTCTACTTACCATAGTTTTTTCTATATTTTCAGGGAAGCGGGTTTTCGACCTTATAAGTGGCAAGTTTGTAAGTGTTAAGATTGTATAATCTTGCGAATTTTTTTTAAGCATTGAATTAGATTTTTATTATAAATTTCGGGACATAATTTAAACATTGAATTAGATTTTTATTATAAATTTCGGGACATAATGGGGTGTAACATTTTCCTTATAATTTAGTTTTTAATTTTGAATTACGATGCGTCAAGGGATGTAACATTTTAAATGTATAGCAAAGTTTAATTTATAATGCATCGAAGTGATAACCAAACATTTAGCAGATGTGGGTTCTGTATAGCTTCTAATGTATTTTAAAATGATGGCTTGTAAATACATGCATAATAAATAATCTTTGTATGGCAATTAAAAGTAAGATTTTAAACAACACCTTCAGGACAGGATGCTGTGTAATATTTTTGTATATGATGGTGCATAATATTTTGGTATATGATGGGGCGTAATATTTGAATGTCCTTCGTGAAATGACACAGATTGTAACTTAGGAAGTGTAGTAATATTTTAAGTGTATTTCATATTAATTTTATGATAATTTTGTATATTTATATCGCAATAATCCATCCACCATTACATGCACAGGGCGCCAAACATGTATAATAATATGTTTTTGTTTAATAAATATATTATCTGTTTTCTTTTGTTTTAATTCAACCGTGCTATAGTTGTACCCAGGCTTAATGGACACCATATTGGAACTGAATACCGTGTGGTATTAGAGAAATCTTGCCCAGACAGCGGTGCTACAGGCCTATTAAGGGTTCTTTTATGTGCACACTAATGTGTACGCGGGATCTCGGTATTTCGAACCATCCGAACGACTAGACGCTGCCTTGTCAGGCCACCTGTCCTGCACCACTGACAAGGGAAAGCCACGCTGAAAAATCCCTGGGAAACTATCTCGACCAACATTGAGATGGAACCGCCGACCTCCTGGTTTGTGAGCTAGCCTCGCATTATGAGGCCTACATTGTTCAAATAATTCAGAAATGGTTTAGGGAACAGAGTTGTATGCTTTTTTACTACGTGTTTGAATTTTTTGAAATAATAGTAAGTGCCGGCAAATAAAATCGATAAGACAAACCTGCGGACAAGACACACAAAGTACAGACACTGTAACCAATAAACAACAAAATATCAAATCAAGTGAATGGATCCGGGGTCCAGCCGTAAGCGTAAATAAAATATGGACACTGTGGAGGGAAATGAAATAAAATGGCAACACTGACAAGGGGAAACCACGCCGGAAAATCCCTAGGAACTTTCTTGGTCAACACAGGGAGCAAACCCTATATCGCAATGTTAGCGAGCTATAAATGCATTTAATTGTCAAAGCTTTTAATTTATTTTATAGCCCACCCAATATGGCGAACCACTTATCCACATAGAGGTATCAGCCATTATGCTTATCTTGTTATTGTATAATATAGGGCTTCATTCATATTTATTGAACGTTGCAAACAAACAAAATAAATATTTTTAATTTTAAGTTTCCGGATTTTTAATATAAAAAATTTGTTTTTATCCTAGAGTCTACAGCATTCGTTCATTTTTATTGAATCTTGCGATAAAATTGATATTTTTTTAGTTCAGTTTTCTCAATTTGAATATAAAAATTTTGTCTTGGAGTCTTAGAATTTGAATTTCTACACGCCCATTGAGGAGTTTCCCTTCCAAATTCTGTAGTTTGTTAACAGATTGGTAAGCGTGTTAATAATACGACTTCATTTCAAACTCTGTCATTCGTCACGAGTTAAGAAAGGGAAAATTGAGCTGCGTATTTAGTTAAGATTAGAGACGGCAATTAGAGACTTCATACTACCATACATCTCACTTACAAACAAACAGATTCAACACTCTAAATATTTTATTCAAATTCAAAATTCCATTTGTCGCGTGAGAAGCACGTTATCCAGATAGCAATTGTAACTATTGGGTGGTCGTACTTATTGACGACGTCACGTTTTGTCGTTTTGTAATGGATGCCACTTCAAGGGGCGTGTTTTCAAAGGTCAAAGGAAGAAAATACAAAGGTCATTGTTTTCACTCGCCTTTTTTCTGAGAAGCGCCTTAATAAATCTCGCTATAATTATAATATACAGTTTTTAAACAGTTTACGTGTTATTAATACCAAGAACATTGTTTCGCATTTACTGCAAAACAAAATGCACCTGCTTGACTACGTAACCGGTTTGGCCCCGTGTCTTGAACATGGAATTCGACTAAGAGGGCATCAGTTATTTGGTTCCTAGTTTTCATATCAACCGAGTATGGCTTAACCGTATTCCATTGTCCTTTTGAGAGGGAGGGTTGGGATAGGGTTTAATGTCATTTCTGGACTAACATGGTTCGATCTTATTTCAATATTTCGCTTGCGCGTAAGCGTCTTTAGTTGTGGGAGGAAACCGGAGGACCCGGAGAAAACCCACAATCGCCTGTTTATAATAGGCGTAAATTTCTGATTTGGGTTTGTTTTTCTTCTTTATTATTGAGTCAAGTGTCATAGTTTGGATAGCAGGCTTCACTACATACCAAGGAGTAATGTCGCCTGTCTACACCCGTGGGTTTTCTCGGGGTTCTCGGTTACCCCCAACTGCTACAGACTCCAACACCAAATTTCGAAATAAATGAATGAAATGGGGGTTTAACGTTCTACTGTTCTGCTCCGATTGGGCTAATGAAGACAAACGCCATGCAGTGTGCTATGAAGGAAATTGTGCTACGGCCTACTCTTCGAATTCTAACTGCCAAGAGATCTCTTACGTGCATGCCAATGTGTACACGGGACCTCGGTTGTTCGTCACATCCGAACAACCAGACAGTTGTCCCTGTCAGACCCCCCCCCCCGTCCTACCACTGACAAGGAGAATCCATGGTGAACCTCCTCGGCCAACACCTGGAGCGACCCCCCCCCCCGACCTCCAGGCTAGCGAACCAGCGTTTTACTCGAAACCTACATGTTAGTCTCGAAATGTTCTAGTTTGTGTTGAGTGATGTTAAAGGCGCTAAATCCCTAACTCAATATTTTTCCATAATATTCGAAATTAGAACTCTAATTAGAATTCAATATTGATTCATTTCAGTCAATGTTGATGTTGTTATCTTGCAGTAAAAATATGGGATCCTATTATCAAACATTTAAGACATCATGGTTTCTGGCGCCATTTGTAATGAACAAAGAAAAACATATCCTACAAAACAAACAGCTTGTAGAATGTCGTTCAGTTTGGACTGTTCACGTATTTCACCGAAAATTATTAATTAGAAATTACAATAAATCACTTTACATATATTCATATCACATTATTATGTACTTTTAGACAAACTTTCATCTATTTTAAGTTCCAAAGAATAGAGATATACGCTCTGTAAAACAAACTTCTCTCCCGCTTGTTTGTAACTGGATACCGAGCCGAAACGTGTACCTAAATAGAAAGTTCCACCGGATTATTGAAAAAATAATTCGAAACACTCTAAAAGAAAAACGCGTAAATTTCGATTAAAAATGTTATGGTCTATTAATAGCCATTTAAAATAAGATGGCAGGTCACACGATTGTCTGGCCATTTTTTTTTCTCTCAATCGATGACTGAAAAACTCGCGGCATCATTTGATGTTAATAACTTTGTTATCTGATACGGGATTAGCTCAAATCGTAGAAGGAGAGAGTGGTCGAACCAATCAAATGTCACGTAAGAACAAAAACCAATACGGATAAACGGCGTAAACCTTTTATGTGAAAATACTCGCTTGGTACAAATTAAATAAGATCCCATTCTAACAAGTTTTCACTCATTTAGGAGACAAATGGAGTATAATTTGCTGGATGGAAATAAATTAGAAGCCTATCGACTAAATGGAAGTGTGTGAAAGAAACGTACGTGTCCATTTTGAAAACATGAGGTGGACCGTCTGCCATCCAATCCCGGTTATAACAATGGAAGTAAAGACAGACCCCTGTACACGACCGTTTACAAAAGGTCTTAATGCAATTAAGAATGGAGACAGATATTAGGCCAAATAATTTGAGTGGAAAACAGGAGATATCGAACAAGTTTCACACAGAATCGAAAAAATAATTGTACAATTTCAGGAAATGAAAAGGGATTTGTTTATCTTTTATTTGATTAACATCTGGAGTTTGTTTTCTTTTCTTTTCTTAAACGTGAAAATGAAAATTATTTATTTATTTATTTATTTATTCATTTATTCATCAGAAATGTTTAACTGGCAAAGGCGCAGCTAGTATAATAGTTTATGTGTGTACAAAGTTTTTCAAAGATATTGTTTACTCCTGCAACAAAGCCAGGGTGGATGGGCGGACGCGGCCCATTTCAATATCCCTCCCCTAAGTCCAATTATTGAGCCCAGAAAATTCTAGCCACTTGACACAATGACAGACCTTGTGATATACAGAGCAGTCGTTAGGCCACGCAGGACGGAGGGCCTAACAAGGACAGCTGTCTAGTCGTTCGGATGGGGCCAAAAATCGAGGTCCCGTGAACACATTGGCGTGCACGTAAAAGATCCCTTAGCAATTCGATATAAGAGTAGGCCATAGTGCCGTTGCCCGGGCAACATTTCCCTCATAGCACATTGTATGGCGTATGTCCGTCTTCATTATCCCGGTAGGTCAGAACAGTAGGACGTTAACCCCATTTCATTTCATTTCATTTCACAAAATACGATAACTGGAACAAGCAAAATGTCTCAATGCTCGATGTTCGCCAAAATATCTTGTAATTTTCTCGATATATTTCGGAGGGGGGTTTTCTCATCCAGCAAATTTTGTTAAAATTTGTCCTTGGTCGAGGTTTACATTTCATGGACATCTAACTACTTCTTTATCACTTCTCTACGCGGATTTCTGAAGATTAATTCTGGAAAGCTGTATAACATTATTGACGCCGCCTTTCTTACACGCAGTGATCATAATCTTAACCCAAGCTTACATGCAACCTGTCGTACGTGTTTTGGTACGCACGGGTCTTAGGGTTTGGTAGCTCGCAGACCAGTCGCGAGAAATCGGGTGAAAATTATATATGTGCAGGACCAAAAATCTCTAAGGCCAGTCTGCGATCTATTAAGGGGCCGAAAACGCATGTGACGTGTGCGTGTAAGTCTCACGCACGGGTTTACTAAACAAAATTCCTCCGCAGACTGACCGTAGTCAAACTGATTAAAATACAGATCTATGTTTCGTTTCGTTTTTTTATACTTTCGATGGCCTACACTACATGAAGATCTGACAAGTTATAGCGATAGGTCACGTCAGGGGTCAAAAGACCGACTTATGACCCTATGACGTCAGACATTTGATTAACCAATCAGCATTGATGTTACTAGTGGATTACCCACAGTTCCGTGCAAAACACGACTAAAGCTCGCCGTAACAGACCGTTTCATTGGCTTATCCCTGACACCATTCAGAACACGAGTTAAATAACTCTTCCAGATCCAAGTGTAGTAAAGACAAGTAAAACGAAATTTTGAACTATAAAAACGAAACGAAATAGGATCTGTGTTTTAACCAGATTGGCCCGTACGGCGGTTTGTGAGCTAGGTTTTAAACATCCATCATCATCCTCGGTTTAAAACACACTTCCATCTTACCCTAGTCGTGAGGGTAGGGGATTACAAGGGGGGGGGGGGGCTCATAAGTCGAATAGCCCAGGGTCTCTCTTCATCAAAATTTGGCACTGATCTTGCCCAAGTCAGACTATTTTTATCCGACATTACGGCATTTCTACCTGACATCACGACATTAGGTAGGTTAACAATGTCGTCATGTCGGGTAATAATGTCGTCATGTCGGGCCATAATAATGTCTTCATGTCGGGTAGAAATGTATGTGATGTCACCATAATATGCTGATTGAGTAAGATCGAGTAAGGTCAATAGAACACAAAGTTACGAATAATGTTTTAGACCTTTACCATAAAAGGTTGTTTAATATGAATAACATCAAAACGAAAATGAAAGTACTTTAAAGATGCATTTTATAAGAGCTAAATCTACCTATGTTATATAATATATTCAACACTCTAGACCATTCGATGGCCGAGATTTAAATGGATTAGAAAACCCGCGAGATTTAAAAATTCAACGACAAAGGGATAATTGAGACTTGTAATAAACGATAATAAACAATCTGCGATTCATCTTGTTCAAACTTTAATTACACATTACTCAACTTCAAATAAAGTAATTTAAATGATTTTTTTATTATCTATGTACGTACTATTTTAGCAAGAATTCTTACATAATGCATCTTTAATTAGGATGTATAAAATACTCTACTGTGGAATAAATGAAGAAAAAATAATTATGTGGAAAACGTATAGACCGGTGTCGCGGTTTGACCCCCGGTTTGGTTCTGTTTATTGTGCATGTGACTTGACTGAAACGTTAATGCCAAAGCCTTCTTCTAACCTCTGTGTAAGATGACTGACCTTTATAAGTTCAAAATGCATTCTACTTGTGACGTCACTGGTCCGTGCAGAATGGTGCCTTTTACTCATTTTGCGCTTCGAGTTATATTTTATGTAAACATTTACACTAAATAGCAAACACATTTTATTGAAATATACTTCAACGACCTTTTTTTTATTTTTCCAATACTTAAAAAAAAAACCAACATGTTTTAGAATTTAATTTGCAGAAAGAAAACTGTTAATACTGTGAACTAATTAATTGATTGTAAAGGCCTTGCGAATATTCACTGCTGATAAGTTTGTGAAATCGCATCACTCACATATCTATTTAATAATATAGTAAGTAGAGGAGGAGGGCAATACACACAAAAAAAACCGATATGACAAACCCGCGGACATGACAAACTATACATACCATGCATGAAATAAACAACAAATATTAATTGAAGTGAATGGATCCGGGGACCAACAGTAAGCGTCCTCTGCGCTGTACAGTCATGGGCCTGTGATAATACAGACTAGATCTTTCCAGCAGCAATCAAACACAATTATAAGTATATGTAGTCTTCTATTTCTTATATCTTTAAAGTCCCATTGCGTCATTTGCATTTTTCACAGCTTAATCCACATTAATATGTACTCAGATTGATTATTTAACATTTAATTAAGAACACAAAATCAAAATACCAATGCTAAATTTAATCAGATTTAAAACATACCCATCAATTATGTTCGCGGACAACAATATTGTGGTGGGCTTATTACATGGCGTTTCAATTCAACAGTTCTTTGTAAATAATGAACGGAATTTAACCATTTTTGAACTGTTATTACTAGTGTAGTTTGCACGGGATTCCTATTGCTCTAAAATGACGCAATGATACTTTAATTATTTGATATTATTATCTCTTTGACTTAGATATATTGATTAAGCCGTGGTATACAAATGTCAAGAATTTACTAAGACCGTCTTTTGCAACTAAAGAGCCAAATCGTTTACAGAGTCAAACCATAAAACTTTTATTATGTAAGCTTGGCTTTTTATATGTAAGCTTGTCCTTTTAATAATCAACACTTTTCGTTTTTCTTCACGTTGTGTTGACCGATGACGTCAGGTACCGTGACCGGTTCCAGATACTCATGATAGTCACTGTTTTCCAGTTTCAATTTCTCATAATCATTGTCCACATAACTGCGCCCTCGATCTTCCAGTGAACAGTATGTGCCACTGACGGGAACACAAGGCAGGGGTCGTATACTGACGGCTGGAAGACATTTCTTGGCGCTAGCTTTTCTTTTCTTGTACACAATCCTGAAAATAGACAGATATTTACAAATAAAAGACAATTGACCATAACCCGTCCTGTGTTCTCATTGTCAGTAGTGCAAGACGGTGGTGCTTAGCAGTGGTGCAGAGTGGTGGTCCTTGTCATTTCATTTTGCTCACTCTACTGATAGCTATGGATAAATTTAATAGCTAAACGGTGTCAAAATCGCAAATATTTCCGGTATCTTGGTCCTGGAATCTCTTAGGGGCCTGCAACCCTTTCCGCCTTCATTATCCCGATTGGTGCAGAAAACTGGGACGTCAGCCCCCATTTCATTTCATTTTGCTCATTCTAACCAGAAAGGATACATTTATTGATAGCTATAGGGATACATTTTAAATGCAAAACGGGTTCAAAATCGCACACATTCCAGGGATCTCGGCCTTGGAATCGCTTAGGTTCCTACAACCGTCCCCAGCCCCCAACCGGTTTGCTTGCGACCCTTCATCTACGGCAGCTTGGTTTGACACTACTAAGCCCCCTGCGGCGCAGTTACAAAATCATGCCCACATTGCTGCGACCATCTCACCAGGTTATATATAATAGAGAACTTACACCAACATAATCAACGTTACAAGAAGTAGAAGACTAAGAATTCCAGCTATAATCCATCCAGCTATATACACTCCTGTAAAAATTAAATTAACATGTTTAGAGTCATCGCCCTTGGTTATAAAAAAAATCTAACAATGGGGTTAGTGCTAAATGATAAGGCTAGCTCAATTTTTCGCCATAGGTCACGAGATGTAAACAAGGCTAGAGCTAATCACAGCCCTAACCCTAAACCTGGACCTAGCCCCAGTGCTTACCCTAAGCCAAAGCTACAATCTCGACAACAATCACGTGCCCTAACCTTATTTACATCTCAACGACTCTGACAAAAATTGAGATGGCTTTAACAAAAACACCTAGCCAAACAATTGAGTTAATTTGTTAAAAAAAAATATTTGAAAATATGTACGGCAAAAGTGATGGTCAATGCCTCGCTACTCCAGGTAACTATGTCATTTTTGCCGCCAACATTTAAAAACCGATATCCAGATTATTGTGATAAAATATACTTACTGTTATCTTTCGGTTTTGGTGGACCTGAAATTAGAAAATAGAAAAAAATGAGAATAATTGTATTTTGTAGAAATGGCTTCAAATAAAGAAGTGGATTAGTTTGACTTTAATTTCATGTAAAAAAAATCTCAGATGCCCAACTCATGTAGGGGGGATCCAAGAATTTTTGCAGGAAGGGGTTTACCAGGCTCCTGGGGCAATGTGTCTTTTTCGTGGGGGGGGGGGGGGGGCTATGACATCCACTGTTAAGGAAATTTGACAGTTGACAATGCCTGATGCCATCATTGTCTCCAAATTACGTTTGACGTCATTTTTTATAATGAATTAATAGGATCACATTGTGATTCAATTTCATTGATACAAAGTATTAATTGTTATATCACATTATGTCTATATCATCTGACGCTTTGAATGCCCATCCGATCCCACTAACTGATGATAAATGGTAATGCACACATCCGTTACACTTTTCTCATAAAAAGTGTTGTTTTAAAAATTTTTATGTAGCTGAGCATATGCATCGATATACATAGTAATTTGTGTTAAATGTGCCGAACTCGAACCAATGATGTATAATCACATGTAAAGTAACTTACCGCCAATACAGTCATACTGTACTTCAACGAAGACACTGTACACATCAGAGAAGCTAATCTCTGTTATGGGTTTTAGATCTAAAACGACTTTACAAGATGGACGATTTTTACACTCTTTAATGATGTTTCGTCGGAGTTTTATTAACCTATTGGTTGTTCCAGTTACATCTGACTGTGATAAACAAACAATGCTGGAATTATTGGGTATTTTCTCGCCGTAGCAACATCCCATATAATTTATAACGTCCTTGCACAATCTGTCCCTGTATCCAATTTCCAATTTACCAATTAAGATTGTCTTCCCTGGACAATCAAGTTCCACTCGCTGTTCCGGCAACTGCGATCCAAATAACTTACAAGCAAAAAAATCGGCCTCTGATTCCGGGTACGGGTAGTCACGACAAATATCTGTAAAATGAAAATGGAAAATGAAATGGGGTTTAACGTCCCACTGTTTTGCTCCGACTGGGATAATGAAGACGTGCATACACCATATAGTGTGCTATGGTGAACTCTTGCCCGGACAGCGGCAATACGGCCTATTCTCATATCGAATTCCAACTGTCAAGGGCTCTACCTCGGTTTTTCGTCCCCAAAGAACGACTATACGTTGCCCAATGTCAGACCATCCGTCTTGCACCACTGACAAGGGGGGCCAAGTTCAAGCTTCAGGGCCACCAAGTTGTAGGCCCGCCGCTGTCCATATGTAATAGAAATGGTTAAACACATTTCAAATATAATTTTACATATGCGTAGAACTGGTTAAAGTTATCCCAAATATAATTTTATATATGTGATAGAACTGGTTAAAGACATTTCAATTATAATTTTATATAAACACATTTCAAATACAATTTTATATAGTTAAACATATTTCAAATATAATTTTACATATGGGATAAAACTGGTTAAATACATTCCAAATATAATTTTACACATGGAATAAAACTGGTAAAACTAATCCCGAATATAATATTACATGCGGAATAGAACAAGTTAAACACATCCCAAATATAATTTTCTATATTTAAACACATTTCAAATATAATTTTACATATGGGATAAAACTGGTTAAACACATTCCAAATATAATTTTACATAATATGTGATAGAACTGCATGGTTAAACACATTTCAAATATAGGTTAAACTCATCCCAAATATACCGTTATATATGTGATAGAACTGGTTAAACTCATTTCGAATATAATTTTGCATGTGGGATAAAACTGGTTAAATACATTCCAAATATAATTTTAGGATAGAAGTGATTAAATGCATTCCAAATATAATTTTAGGATAGAACTGGTTAAACACATTCCAAATATAATTTTATATATGAAGTAAAACTGGTTAACACATTCCAAATGTAATTTGATATATGAGATAGAACTGGTTAAACATATTTACGATATAATTCAAACATATATAACGTTGCTATTATTGATCCGTAACACTGATTTTAAAGATCAGATAGTGACGCAAATAATGAAATGAAATGAAATGAGATGGGGTTTTATGTCCTACTGTTTTGCTCCTATTGGGCTAATGACGACGGGTATACGCCATACAGTGTGCTATGACAGTATGAGGGAAATTTTGCACGGACAGCGGCCGTGCTATGGCTTACTCTCATTTCGAATTCTAACTGCCAAGAGTGCTTTTACGTGTACGCCAATGTGTACACGGGGCCTCGTGTTGTCCCTTGCTAGGTTCTCCGTACTATACAACTGACAAAGGAACGCCAGAAAATCCCTATGAACCTTCTCAGCTAACGCTGGGATCGAACACGGGAGCCAACGTCCTACCCACTGAACCACTGTGGCTCCCGTGGCGCAATGAGTGTCACCGATTGAAATTGAGAGCGGTAACAGGGAATCTTCCACACCGGGATCAATAATTATTCCTTTTGCTAATGATTTAAATATAACCCCCTCAAAATACTAAGCAAAATTTGATATTCAGCTAATCAGCGCGAAATATATCGATAAGAAGCTACTACTTACCCCGCATCGAAAATCCCGAATGGATCTGAATGAGCAGCATCAATAAAACAGCACTATACGAAAACATTGTTCTAAAGTATTACAATATCCAATATCCTGACAAATTTAAAACAGGTTAAACATCCCCTACAAAAATAAGTGATTTCCGAAATTCATATATATTCTAATAGCAATTCATTTTTCTCCTAAACAAACTTTACCCAACCCAATAGTGCATTCAAATTATAATTTCAGTTCACTTTGCTAACTCAAGTGAAAATGAACCCAACCCTATGATAATTGTGTGTCATCGACTATCTAATTGAAGACACTTGATAATCATTATAACATAATAAAATGACAATTGTATATCGGTATCATGGCGAATTTATAGTGAAGCGGAAAATAGTTATACCCCATACGTCCGGTATTCTACACCCATCATCGTTTAATTGATCATTAACTTATTGTCATAATCAGAGGCGTAGCTAGACGTAGTGGTAGAGGGGCTCAAACAACCCTTATATGACCCTAGGCCAGTGATTCTCAACCAGTGTACCGCTGCACAAAGGTATGCAGCGAGATTTTGATTGGTACACTAGGAAAATGCGCAAAACCATGTGATCCCAATTGAGTATTCACCGGTGTCTAATTATAAGCTCATAGCTGTGTTTTTCTTTATCTAGTTGGAGTCAGTCTATGTGTCTATGACTAGTCTATGTCTACGATTGTATGCCGTCTGACTTACCACGTTTTTATTTTGCAAAATTCAAATATTTTTCATATATATTTAGCCTGGTGTGCCGCTGTTTTTTTCATGTGTTCCAAGGTGTGCCGTTGGCATAAAAAAGGTTGACAGCCACGGCCCTAGGCACTGTTTCCATGCAGTGTCGTCTTTACGTATGGGCGCACCACGAGCATAGGGACCAGTGCTAATACACGTATGTTACGACTTGCTGTTACAACTTGTTGTTTAAACAATGATTTTGCTAGAAGTACCAATACAATAAATATATTTATAATCTTTTCGACAATTTATATTTTGATTCCCGTGAGTCGTTGCGAGGGGACCCAGTGCACCTGCTTTGCCCGAGAGCCTATAATGGTGTATAGACGGTCCTGTGAGTGGTTGTGTAGGTAGGGGACCCAGTGCATTGCTTTGCCCGGGGCCCTATAATGCTGTATATATGGTCCTGGTTCCATGGCACCGAAGGGTTTACAAAATCTAAGTGGTTCTTACAGTCCACTTAGATTTGCGCCTTGTGGTTCTTTAGGTTAACCCCGCCAGTTGACTCAATTACAGACCTTATGTTACAGCGCGCATGTGCTAACCGTGCGGCTATCCACCCCCCCCCCCCAACCACCCCCGAAATAAAATTGAACCGTGTGTTAGTCCTGAAATGACCTAGTTTGTGTCGAGTAGATGTTAAATCCAATTTCTCTTTCTCTCTGTCTTCAGGTTAATAAAGATAGCCAATTATTCAAACCTACTAACTCATCGGATAACATGAGATCAGACCCAAAGTTCACAAAGCATTCTCATACTTAAGTTAAGAATTTACTGAAAAGTGTTGGCTTATAGCCCTTTATAAAAAAAAATTGTACTTTTAATGTAAATACATCAATAAGAAGCTATGAGCAAAGTTTTGTGTTTCTGGATAAACAGTGATTGAAAGTTGAGTAAATTCTTAACTTAGGTCTGAGAATGCCAGATTTTCTGTATCCAGATTTCCATTCTTACCCTATCATTCCACATTCCCTTGTATCCATGCTTGGTCCGCATCATTATAAATAGCAAGAGAAGCGTGTGGTTTTATATACGGCGTACTACAAAAAAAAGACAAAGCGTCATAATCATGCACATAATTTAAATGAAGATAGTTGTATTTGAAATGATGAATTGTTTTTGTGTTTTTATCCTTTACTACATCACGGGGTTTTGTTCTATTTTCAATATAAACACATGACAATTACATACAAACAATGTATATATATATATATATATATATACACATTTTATTACAAGTAAATACAAACACATAAACAAAAGAAAAAAATTACAAAGTTTACAGAATAGATATAACACAAACAAGACAGAAACAATCAGCATCACAACATATAATATGTTCGGCAAAAAAGGTATTTATACAAAAGCAAACAGGCATACTTACTAAATTTGAAAGCGATCACAGGATATATCCCTGGAAGATATTATCGGAGGTATCCAAAATTGAACATACAATTATCAAAAATGCATTATGTCAGAGTTACATGAAGAGCAGATCCTTATAGCTATAACAGTTCAAACATAGATAATGAATAATTAATATATTGAAAATGAGAGAAGTTATCAGACTTTGAAGTGTTCATTAGTACCATTGTTATGATAATAGACAAAGTCGCGATTATCCATTTTCAAATTACATTATTAAAAGGCGATCATGTTTCATTCCTTTAAAAATCGCTACCATCTAGGGGTAAGTGGGTAAGGCGCTGGCTCGCTAGCCTGGAGATCGGGTGTTCGATCCCTGCATTGACCGAGAAAGTCCGATTTTCCGGCGTGGTTTCCCTTTGTCAATGATGCAGGAGGGAGGGCCTGACAAGGACAGCTGTCTAGTCCCGCGGATCGGATGATACCAAAAACCGAGGTCCCGTGTATACATTGGAATGCACGTAAAAGATCCCTTGGCAGTTGGAATTCGATATAAGAGTAGGCGATAGTGCCGCTGCCCGGGCAAAACTTCCCTCATTGCACACTGTATGGCGTATGCCAGTCTTCTTTAGCCCAGTATAGGAGCAGAACAGTAGGACGTTAAACCCCATTTCATTTCATTTCATTTCGCTACCATCTAATGGTCTAGACCATGAGTTGATTATGGGCTTGTAATGTGAATAAATGTCGAATAATTTATATAACATATTAGGTCTAAAGAAAGACCTGCAATGGGCAGATTTAGCTCTTACCCAATGTATCTCTAAAAACGTTGGATGATGATAAATGTAGTCTGCAGAGTGTTCACAGGAAATTGTGGACGACGGAGCTTGGCGTATAAAAAGGTGTGTATATAGTTGCGGATCACTTATATACATATGCCTATATCATGATTTCCATACTAAAAGATCTCCAAGTAGTGTTTTCCAAAATTTTCCACAAATCCATAGCAGAACAAGGGCCGTCTTCACAACATTATAGTTCCCCACCCCTGTAACAAATTCATAGCAGAACCAAGGCCGTCTTCACAACATTATAACCTCCCCCCCCCCCGCACCCCCTCCCCCCTCCCGTGCGTTAAGAAGCCTCTGAGAAGAACCAATCAACGTCCAGGTAATATATATATATAAAATTATTGGTGTACAAATGGTGAGAGTGGGAGAGGGAGAGAGAGAGAAGAGAGAGAAGTGGGGTTTAACGTCCACTCAACACAAACTAGATCATTTCGGGACTAATAAATGGTTCTATTTTACATCAATAATTCGCTTGCGCGTAGTGGTCTTTAGCAGTGGGAGGAAACCGGAAGACACGGAGAAAACCCACGAGATTGAACATGCGATCCTACTCCTTGTCACATACAACCAGGGAATCGAAACCATGCCAGTTGACTCAATGACTGACCTTATGATGCAACGCGCACGCGCTATCCATTCGGTCATCCAACCCCTCTCTATTTAATGGTGTTTTAAAGTCTAAATTGGAGGGCGCCATATTACATCGGATCCACATCTGTTGTTTTTTGTAGTTTTTTTTCATATTATTTTCTTTATCACATGACAACGTTAACCTAATTTTGCTAAATGGTTGTACAATGAATAACAGCATAATATGACGTCATTTAAAGGAAAGACGAACGTCATAAAACGTGAATCGGAAATTGCTACTTGTTGAACTTGGGCTACATACTAAAAGCCTGTGGCCTTCAAGAGGGCATAGACGTGGGTTGACAAGACATAGCAAAACTTATTCAGTTAAAATAAAGCTGTATGTAATATGTCTGATCATCAATAGTCTATATTATTAGTAATATTTGTGATTAATGAAATCAAGTCAGCCCAATCTAAATTTAGTACAGCTAGCCCTAATTTAACTTCGGGTTATTAATTAATTTGGTGTAAGCTAAAATATGTATGGATATTTATCATTAACTTGAAATGAAATGAAATGAAATGGGGTTTAACGTCCTAGTAGGTACTGTTCTGCTCCTATACTGGGCTAATGAAGACGGGCACACGCCATACAGTGTGCTATGAGGGAAATTTTGCCCGGGCAGCGGCACTATCGCCTACTCTTATATCGAATTCCAACTGCCAGGGGATCGTTTACGTGCATTCCAATATATACACGGGACCTCGGTTTTCCGTCTCATCCGAAGGACTAGACAGCTGTCCTTGTCAGGCCCTCCGTTCTGCACTACTGACAAGAGGAAACCACGTCGGAAAATCCTGATGAACTTTCTCGGCCAATGCAGGGATCGAACACTCGACTTGAAAACGTGACCTGTATGTGTTACGAAACGTCGTAATTAAATAACAGAGAAGTAGTTATATCCTGTGTTATGTTTTGTTATGAATATTTGTGACAGTCGATAACTTCATAATAAAGCTGAATATCGATATTATTAATATTTGTGACAGAAAAATGACCGAGACACATTGAACTAAATCAGCGAATGGCCGTGAAAGAGATTCGCAGACTTAAAAGATATTTCCTCGATATTCCCGATCCGTGGCAGTACAAAAAAGAACCCTTGGCAGTTCGCATTCATAATAAAAGTAGGCGGCTGTGCCATTGTCCCATACTAACCTTTCTGGATATGGCGGCTATTTAGGGTAAAGATCTATGCTCGAAGTATGGAGTCCACTCAGACTAGCAATTATTTGCCCATTGACTTCAATGTTAAATGGCTGTAACATCACAGGCTGTAGCTCTTTGTTCAACATTCCGTTGGTTCCTATCTTTATAGGCACAATGGCGACCACATTTGGCAATCTCCTCATCATAATTTTGTAGGGGGTTGACCGTTTAGATGTTTTGCTACGGGGATTTGAAGTTGACTGGGGTGAAAATCTCACTTCCGACACAATGATTGCTCTGCAGAAAGACACATTACACCCCCCCTATCCCTCCGCTGTAGTATATGAACGTTTCGTCAACACAATACTTATGTCATTTCTGCCTATTAAACTCAAATCTGATTAAAATACAGATCTATATTTCGTTGGGGTTTTTTTATATATAAACAAAATAGGATCTGTGTTATAATCAGATTGATCAAACTCAAGTGTTTTTTGACTTTGAGTTGGAATGGAAATTTTGGGGCAGATTTGTTGGTAATTTTATTTTGAAAAATATATTTCTATAGTTAGTGTGCAAAATAAGTAGGAGGATTTTCCATGGGGGGGCAGTGTTTCTGCCTTAGACTCTTTCCAACTGTGAAGGGTTCTTTAACGTCCACACCAATGTGTATTCAATATCATCTGAACTGGCCACACTTTTGTTATCGGCCACACGGATGCCACGGCAGCAAGTGAAAGTCAGGTTAGAAAGGTGCAGAGGATTCTTCTCAACCTGTGCAAAGGATCAAACCTGCTGCGGCCTACTCTTATATCTAATTCCAACAGTCAAGGGTTCTTTTACGTCCCTCCATCTCAAAGACTAGACACTGTCCTTGTCGGGCCCTCCATCCTGCACCACTGACAAGGGGAAACCATGTTGAAAATCCCTTGGAACTTTCGTTCATCTGAACGGCTAGACACTGTCCTTGTCAGGCCCTCCATCCTGCACCACCGACAAGGGGAAACCACGTTGGAAAATCCCTGGGAACTTTCTCAGCCAGCAACGGGATAGAACCCCATAGCTCCTGGTTCGAAGAGCCAGCACTTTACTCACTGAGGCACCGCAGCTCATTGGTATCAGAGAAATAAGTCATGAAGCCAGTTATATTTTTTTTTTCTATTTTAACTTTATTATAAATATGTTCATCTTTTACAAATATAAACAATTCGCACAGCTCAATATTTATGTACATGTGCTATCTATTTTAATAGTCTCTTGGTGTAATGAAATGAAATATTGGTTTAACTTCCTATCATCGGGCAGAACAGTAGGACAATAAACCCCACCTCATTTCATTTCAATTGGTGGAACTTGGGATTACAACTGGTACCTTAAAATTACAATTTTTACTGAAATTATTTATGACTGACATAATGCAGGTCAAAAACACAGGGGCTTTATTCAAAAAAATAAATCTAAAATATTTGAGGAATTCAGTCCTTTCATTTGCTAAGAGGTAATATTTGTACCAAAATTTTGACTCTCAATAAATGGAAGGACTGCTTCTTTAAGATATTTTAGTTTTGGTGATTAAAACTCCTGCTTTAAAGATACATTATGTAAGATTTAGATAAAGAGCTGGTCGTTCTTGCCATAATAGTTCAAAAATAGTGAAAAATTAATATATTGAAAATTTACTTTAAATTACTTTATTCTGAGCGAAGTTATCACCGTTTAATGTTTTGACATAGATTGTTTATTATCGCAGCAATATTACTGGTTAATCAAGACTCACCCACGTTTCTCCATTTTTAAATTAAATCATGAAATGGTGATCGTATTTCAATCTGGTTACATCTGCACCATCTGATGTTCTAGAGAGTTGATTATAGGCTTGTCATTTGAATAAATGTCTAAATAATAATTAATATAACATTTGATGCCAAAATAAAAATCTGTAATGGGCAGATTTATCTTTTACATAATGCATCTTTAACATGTACTTCTGCTCTAATTCAGTCAACTACTCAAGTGTAAAGAACTACTGTAAAATGATGGTACCCCTTTGAATTGGGTTATCTTCCCAAACCCTTTCGACATGTGGGAATTTCCCATCTCCCAAAACGTCCAGAAAACCAGACTGTCCCAAATTCAAACAGGTTTTGCTTTTCTAAAAGTAAAATTACAAAATATTTCCATATAGTTTTTCACTTTGCTAGAACTTCCTCAAAATTTAACTCACAAATAACATTTAGAAACAAATTATCCTGAATTTAATCAAAATACAAAAATACCTGTCAGAAAATTTTCAAAAATAAACTGTGATGAGAAGCTGAAAATATATTAAATTTGCGGTCGGAACAGTTTGAACTTAATTATGAAACACCTGTGATGAAGGCAGTAATTAAGAAAAGGTGAAAACAATATATAATGTGAAATGTGAAATTTTAAGAGGTAGCTAAACACATGATAAATTGGAATTAACATGCTTTCACTAAACATTATAGAATATAATATCTAATTAAACATAAATCTATCTATGTGGCAGTATTAACATCGGAAATACACAAAATAGATATTAGGTCAGCTGTTATAATAAATGATTGAAATGAGCTTTAATGGCACTTCAGCACCAACCGGACTATATTGCGCCAAACATAAGGTGATAAATTCGAGACGCAGCTGTCAGAACTTCCCAAACATATGAGTAGTGGTATCAGGTGTTTTATAGTAAGCATATCCTGCCTTGTGTACAACCACGACAATTCGCACCTGGATGGAGCAATCCCTTTGTTAAGGTTCAAAGGACAATAGCAACTATAGCCAAAGGGAGATAACTTCAATATAAATCTACACATACCAGGATTCAGACAGATTTTGAATCAAGCCGTCAAACAGTTTGTAATTTAACCATTACATGTTTCAATTTATTTATGACAATTAAACCAACGCAAAATTTCAACACTTGCATCCAAACAAATAACCTGGGGATAGATCGCAACCTACCCACCTACTCAATCCATGCTCATTGTAATAAGAAAAAGTTGACACCGATGGATTATGATGTACGTCAACATTTCCGAAATTTAACCGATCATAATCTAGTTCTGGTTCCACAGATTATTTGTTTGGCACAAGTGACCTCCATTAAAATTTACAGAGAGAGAGAGAGAGAGAGAGAGAGAGAGAAGAGGGGGAAATGGGGTTTAAGGTCCACTTCAGGACTAACATGGTTCAATTTTTTTTTCAATAATTCGCATAGGTGTCTTTAGTAGTGGAAGGACCTAGAGAAAACCCACCAGGTTGGACAGGCGACCCTATTCCTTGCAAGTACAACTGAGAAATCTAAAATTCAAATAAATCTTGAGCTACATGTATGGGAGTTTAAAGAATAACGAATAATAGGGGTACTGTGTAGACATTGATGTGCACGTAAAAGAAACTGTGATATTTGGAATTTGAAATAAGAGTAGGCCACAGCGCGGCTGTCAGAGCAAAATTTCCATTATTCCTGTCTAGAATAGACAGAGAGATTGGGTTTAACATTTACTTGACACAAACTAGGTCATTTTGGGACTAACATACATGATTCAATTCTATTTGAATAATTCATTTGCACATAGGGGTCTTTAGCAGTGGGAAGAAAACGGAAGAAAAAAAGAATATTCATTCATAATGTCTTTCATGGTAGAGAATTATCAAATTTAAAAAGAATGGTATATTTTCAAACAAATTAAAATAAAAACTATAATGTACAAATTTACAAAGTCATAAATAATTACAATTGTGCTACTGTACATTTCAAATACACATAATATACAGCACATGATAGGATTGCTATGGATATGCATTTAGCTACAAATATAAGTACATCAAATACAGTAATGGGAATTTGAAGGGAATTCCCCTAATAAAAATGGTGGACACATCTCATGGAGAGCACTAATTTAAAGAGAGAGTAATGGGTATGAATCCGAGCTTTTATTTTAAAATTTCACCAGCTAACCTATTATTGACATATTTCGTTTTATTTGGATTAGCAAGATAGTTTTTCTAAAGAATATGGATACCTTGAGCATTATCACAATTTTATGTGTTTTAAATATGCATTATCTAAGATTTAGATAAAAAGCTGGCCTTCTAGCTATAATAGTTCCAAAATAGATCATTCAAAATTAATATATTGAAAATTTCATTCAAGCAACATTATCACAGTTTGAAGTTTTGACATAGATTGTTTATTATCTAGTAATGTTACTTGTTAATTGACTTGTTAATTAAATCATGAAATGGTGATCGTATTTCAATCTGGTGACATCTGCACCATCCGATGTTCTAGAGATTTGATTATAGCCCTATCATTTGAATAAATGTCTAAATAATAATTTATATAACATTTGAAGCCAAAATAAAAATACTGCAATAGACAAATTTAGCTCTTACATAATGTATCTTTAAGGTTAATTCCTCTGAAATTCCAATTTTAAAGAAAATAAATTGAATGACAGTAAGGTCTAAAGCCAGTCAATTTAACTGCCTGTCAGTCGAAGACTGGCCAAAATGACTGACACAAGAGCCCTTAATCTTGATGACCACACCGATCAAGTTGCTTTATACAAAATCTCATATCAATATATTTTACAAAGATGTCACACCACAAAATTAACACTATTTCTCTTACCAAAGGCATGACCCTAACATAAAAGAAATTATGAATATGTGGCATTACTGGGTTATTATCTTCAAAATTTAAATCACACGAAAACAATTTACTGGGAACTGAAGCAAGTTATTAATATGCTCTTAAAAATCACACAAAACATTGGAGTTGTGTTAGTTAAAATATTATCTCCCTTGATGACTAGCACACGACATGAGAATAAGACTAAGACAATCAACTAAGTAATACAAATCCATGTGGACGATTATTTTTAACCCCTCCAGCATCTAAAATACGTAAGTAGTGCTATCTGATTAAAACACAGATCGTATTTCGTTTCATTTTTTTATAGTTCACAATTTCATTTTACTACACTAGGATGTCGTTTACATCAGAGCTCATTACATCAGTTTTGCCAACCAGTCATTTTTACACTGATTTCTTTCATCTCTAGCAGGATGTTTGATTATCTAAATATATTAATCAATTGTGGACTTCATCAAATGAACATTCTCTATTTTACATTTAGACATGCAAAGTGCTGCAACAATCCGGTTGAAAACGGTTGATCAACTATCCCTACAACTTGGGTTTTGTGTAGATGTGGTGTTTCAGTGGGACTTTCTGTATTTAATGTTTAGTTTCAAGCCATTGTTAGCAAATTGCTCAAATTTGTTGCAAATCATCAAAAAATAGTGGGTTCCTACTGAATTGTAGTTTAAAAATGGTCCATCTGGACTAGATACTGAGTGCTGGGTTTACAAATGTTTACCTTCACTAGCAGTGTTGAGTAATTAACAGACTAATTAATTACTCAACACTGATAGTGAAAATCAACCGTTGTAGTGATTCCAAGATACCAGTGAACATACAAACATATCCTACATAGCATTCATTAAGAAAACAAAATTTTTATTTCAAAATACTTCGACATTTTTAATATAACCAATAGAGACAGCTTGAAGTAATCCCTTTAATATCATACATTTCTAAATAATTCAACAGAATACAAAAACCTCAAATATAAATGCCATATATCCATTAAAATAAAAATAATAACCATTTTAAAACAAGGAATTGGCTTTATATGTTTTTAACCTAATGTCATCGGTACCAACATAACAAAATATATTCCCTAAATCTTCCAAGGCCTAGATTTATATAACAGTATTAGCCTTGTGTTGCATAGGTGCAAATTAACTTCAGGCTTGTTAACTGTGAACCTGAAGGATCATCTAGTGTCGTAACCCCGCCACAGAGACCTTTTCACAAAGTGTACATAAAGCTACGTATACACTAGTTCGATAAGAGTCTTTAGTAAAATGTTTGATTTAGATGTATGCAAGTCTTAAGTATGCTTTGTAAAAAGGAACCCCGAAGGAGGAGGGCAGGAGAGCATTTTACACGAACCTTGGTGTTTGTCCATAACATTCTTCCCTTCTTTTTTAAATTATTTATTTCAATGATATATTTAATGCTAATATACAGACAAAAGATAATAAAATAATAACGATGTTTATTTATCACATACACTCCATTATAAGATGGACAGCACTAATCGACTATTTATAGTAGATTTCAAAAATCTTATAAAATTAAATTTGGAATTAAAGCCTCAATGCATCAGACAACCAATGATAATTTTCAATAAATTTAACCCTTTAAATGTTGACTACCTCAGTTCCTCGAAGAAAATTAGAGAAAAGTGATATATTAATACTGGTACATCCCTGCTGTTCCTCAGACCGCCTGAGATATGTAAATAGTTTACTGCATTATATGACTATTTACTAGATCATGCAGGCACCACAGCTTGGGCAGTCTCAGGAGCCCCTAGTTAGGGTGTTCTAAGAGCTAAAGTTTCAGAAAAATAAGGTCTCAAACAGGTTCATTAGGATAGTGATTTAGATGATTAAATCTAGAGATGTGGGTTAGATGCCATTTTGAGCCTGATATTAGCGGATATAAATGACATACCGGTATCACCCAGGTGAGAAATACAAAATGGCTTCCTGAATATCAACAGAAAGTAATAAGAACTTTAGATAGTCATAACTTACACGTGGATTAATCGATGTGAATATATTTTTTATTTTTTTCAGATTACTTTATTGATAATTTTGATAAATGACTGGCACAAAGTTCTACTCCACTAACCCATGGGTCCATTTACGGGGGCGACACAGTCAAAATATCCTCCCTTGACAATTTTTATTAACCAATCAAAAAAATTTAATACATACTAAGCAGGTGGGCGAAGGGAAGTAAGTCGCATTTTATTGCAACTAAGATCGCTAACTTGTTGTTGCAAACTCTGTCAATGTATTTTAGGACTTCGTTTGGTGGGTGTGCATGTCACTTCTTTGATATTAAATTTCTTGCAAACCTCTCATAATTGAGCGTACAAGCTGCTGAATTGTGGTGAACATAAACAATAACGCCAAGACTGGTATGTAAACTCGTCAAGGGCAGAAAATTTGAATTGATGAAAACCCATAAATGGACCCAGGGGTTAGTGTAGTAGAACGGAACGATACCACTGGGCACACCGAGGATGGGTCTGAGTAAGTACACTAGAACCATTTGAAATTAATCAAATTAAGTTGATGCATTTTATTCAATTTTCTTTGTGGACTAATGAAATAGACTTTATTTTTTTTAAACACTTTTCTTGGTATTTCATATCTTCACTTTTAACACCATACTGTATTATTGCTTTGATTTATTACAAAAAATTGACTAAAATATACAAAATGAATTCTTTTCTTTTTTTAATTTAATGATGTATGATTATGTTCATCACCACCCTCAGCAAATATTCTGTCACTAATAATGGATGTCTGTATCTGATTTCTTTGATGAATCAATGAATGCTAAAAAAAAATATAGGCCGAGAAATGATATGGTGGAAAAAATGAGAACAACACTATCCAAAATGATTCACCAGGATATTTTTTTTTTTAAAAGCTCACCAGAGAAACTTAAACACATACACTGTGGATATTTGAAAATTGGTATATTTGAGAATGGGTCATCAATAACAAAACAAGAAGAGGGAATTACCCAGGTAAGAAATCACAGGTGAATAAATTCAATTCAATATGAAATGATAATCTCTGTTATGTTAATATATTTTCTTCAATGCAATAAACGAAAAACAAAAGAAAAGTTAATCCATCCAAACACCAAACATCCTGTCTTAGATCTGATAGTAATATTATTATATACTTTTAAAGTACCTCACAAAATCAAGGGTAAGGGGAGGTAACTCTTGTTTTAGGAATAGATTGAATACTAACACAGCAAAGTTGAGTGGTCCTTTTTTAAATTTTAAAAACTGATGTAAATCATAATTTAGGGAACACAACATATATAGTAATTATCATAAAGTTAAATATCAAAGGCAAAGGCAAACACAGCAGAGGTTAACCTATTAGATTTGCAACAAACACATTGATAATAACATCTTCATAGCTATACAGGTGAACAGATACCTTTTTATTGTGAAGGTGATATTATAACAGCTGTGTACTAATGCTAAAACAATCTTTGGATGTATGCTGTATTCAATTTATTCTCGTTAATTACCAATCCCAAAAGCCGATACTAATCCTGTGTAAGTTTAATCTGTAAAGGATTATTCGTTATAAAATGACAATCAATTTTGTTTATATGATGGGCCTCAGTTTTTATCTGATCGAATCCACGACGAGAGATTATCTACCACTGATATTTTGATTTTTTTTTAAAGGATTAATTAAATCATGGAAAATTTTATATTTTCCTAAAAATTAAAATGTTAGACAGAGACTCTTGACATTATACCCAATTATTGAGTTAAATTGAATGCAGCATTATTTTCCACCTAACCGCTATTATCTACATTCCTGGAATTTAGATAACCACTAGGAATTATACCAAGCCTGGAAATAAGGTACCTGTTACTGACAATGTCAGGGACAGATTCAGACTTTGTCAGGCACAAAATCTCTGGTGCCTGTCATTTTGTCCAGCACTGATTTGTCTTTTTAAATGATATTATTAATACATGTCTGGCACTATGTTAAAATGTCAGGTACTATTTCATTAGTGCCTGACATTTTGTCAGGTACATCTAAAACCCTTATTTCCAGGCTTGAATTTTACAACAGAATACATACTCTTTACGATGACTGTGTAACACCCCCTAAATATTCATTCCATAATTTCTGCATTATAATCGATATAATCTAATTAATTTGAACTGGATAACAAAACACATATAGACTAATTATTTCAAAATATCTCAAAACATCACTTCTCTCTGCTTAATTTATCTCCATCTTACAACTTCTTTCTTTTCTCCTATAAATCACTGCATAATTAAAATCGACGATGGCCGTTCACTGTACTCGAGATGACTTTGTAATCTCTTTTGATGTCTAGATCGGTCGATAGAGACTTATTCACTGTTCATCAATTAAGAGTTAAAATCGACGATGGCCGTTCACTTTTCTCGAGATGATTTTATAATCACTTGAAAAGTCTTGACTACCCCCGAGAGGCCTGATAATCGTTCATCAATTACTGAATTAAGTTAAAATAATCCATCATTTCAACAAACATCACATTGTTTTTTTTTAATGATAATATATATATTATATCAATTTAAGTCACAGTCTGTACACTGTTAAGGCAATATTTACACAGGAGCTGCCAGAACATGTATAATAATTAATTGATTAAGAATTCCTGGAACCTGTATAATAATGGGTAACAACTCCAGGTAATGTATAATAGTCTATATACTATATTACATAATTAATCTATCACAATAAAGCAAGTTTCACACTGGACCATTTTTAACATTTGAGTCTGTTAAAGCAGCATCATAATTTTCTAGAGCCTCCTTTGCTTGTGTCCTGAAAAATATAACAATTATTTTAAATACACTAATTAAAGGGGAATTATGGGAGATTAGATAAGAGAGAGAGATAGAGAGAAATGGGGTTTAACCACGGACACAAACTAGGTCATTTCGGGACTAACACATGGTTTAATTTTATTTCAATAATTTGATTGTGCGTAGGGATCTTTAGCAGTGGGAGGAAACCAGAGGACCCAGAGAAAACCCACAAGGTTAGACAGGCGACCCTACTCTGTGTCACGTACAGATAAGATAAGGAGTGGACAGTTCTTGCTATAATAGTTTTAAAAAATGACTATGCTGAAAATCTTGATCAAATTGCTCCACTCGGAACCGAGATAGTAGCTTTTGAATTTTGGCTAACCTTGATCATCATCACTCAATTCGGTACGATAAAAAAACAAAGTCTCGATTATTTTTCAGAGAATGTTTTCCAATCCACTAAATATCGCAGGCTAGCGATGACATTGAGAGTTGATAATAGTCTGGATAAGTTAATAAATAATTCAGATAACATTTCAGGCCTACAGGAAGACCTGCAATAGGCAGATTTAGCTCTTACATAATGTATGTTTAACCCTAGAACTTTGTACATCTCCAGTTCCATGAACAACCAAAAAACGTCCTGAAACTACTGTTCTTGAGAGAGAGAGAGAGAGAGAGAGAGAGAGTTTAACATCCACTGGACACAAACTAGGTCATTTTGGGACTAACATATGGTTCAATTTTATTTTAATAATTCACTTGCACGTAAGGGTCTTTAGCAGTGGAAGGAAACTGGAGGACCCGGAGAAAACCCATGAGGTTGAACAGGCGACCCTACTCCTTGTCACATACAACAGGGGAATCGGAACACGCTAGCCATTCGGTCATCCAAACCCCCCTCCCCACTGTTCTTTAGACTATCTTAATCTGCACAAGATATGTGAATAGCTCTCTATAATTCATATCATTGGACCTTTTTACCAGATCTTGGATCATGAGGTTTGTCGTTAAGCCAAGTAGCGTGGTTTTGAACCCAAGAATGTATATGAAAAAAATGTTAAGTTTTCTCCAGATACGCTCACTGCTAAAATCCTTTTTTCTGGACAAATTTTAGTCATTTTTGCAAGAACCAGACTCCAAACTGCCAGTAGAAAATGGAGATGTTTCCCCAGCATTCCCCCCACCTCCCTGTGTATCCTCACATGGGACTAGTTTTAACTACTCGCACCTCGATATCTAATTATAAAACAACCTACCTAGCTTCTGTGATTGCATCATTAGTATCTACAGGTTTAATAGTCGGGCCATTATCTTGAATTATGCCAGCATCACCACCAGATTTAGGAGATGTGGTGGTGAGACAGGGTTTAGCTTTCATTAGTCCTGAGCTAGCAAGGAAACTGAAAAAAAAATTACAATACACAATAAGTAAAATCATCAAAACAAACGAAATTTCCAAATAAACTGAAATGGGGTTTAACGTCCTACAGTTCAGCTCCGACTGGGCTAATGAAGACGGACGGGCATACGCCATGCAGTGTGATATGAGGGAAATTTTACCTGGACAACTGCCAAGGGATCTTTTATGTGCACGCCAATGTGTACAAAGGACCCCAGTTTTTCGTCCATCCCAACGACTACCAAATAAACTAAATGTAGGTAATGATACGTCATGGAAAATTCAGAAAATATCAGAGTTTAAAAAACGATTTTATTGTTAAAATTCACCAAATGAAGTGCGAACGACGGCCTTAAATTAACGAGCCGTCTCCGATTTCACAGATGGTTCTAAAACATATCTGGGACAGCTCCTTTAAAGGTCATGGTTCTTTTTGATTATATAACCCATTCTAGAGGAAATTACTATGTCAGACATTGATGATAGAGCATTCAAACCTGACTTTATATGTAAAATTGGCATAGTTATAATCATGGCTAAACCATTGGAACTGATAAGTCTATTACAGTGTTTGGCTTATTTAGTTTTGGATTCAAGCATCAGCCACTCATCGACGAACAGTTCGTTAGATAATTGGCCAAAATAAGAAAATATATGTGTTTATTGTTACCTCACAACCCTATTATCCATAAACACAGGTATATTTTTTTTTTTCTGGGCCTTATAAAAGAACCAAGTCCTGGGTTATAATTGTTGCATGGTTGACTTAGTGTTGACTATATATTGTATTTGGCTGTCTAACCAACAACAATAAATATAAGGAGGCTGAGAACTCTCCTATCATAAACCTGGACCTAAAGCACCTGAATTCAGGTACAATTCTGCTGATTCCTATTATCATGTTGACACAGATTTGTATTTTTCTGGGGGTGGGGGGGGGGGATGGATGGCCGAATGGTCAGCACGTACGTGCTGTATCATAAGGCCTGTCATTGAGTCAATTGGCATGGTTTCGAATCCCCGGTTGTACGTGACAAGAAGTAGGGTCGCCCTCCAGTTTCCTCCCACTGCTAAAGACCCCTAAGCGCAAGCGAATTATTGAAATAAATTTAAACCATATGTAAGTCTCAAAATGACCTAGTTAGTGTCGAGTGGACGTTAAACCCCATTTCTCTCTCTCTCTGTCTAACCAACATAATTGCATATCAGACTGAAAACTCGCCTATAATTAAACCAGGAAATTCAATGTAAAGCACCGGTGTCAGACACATGTACAAATTCAAGTTTAGTCTGGTACAATCCCACTGATTCCTCACTCGGCAAACCGCGGCAGATCCCGGTACTCTACACCTAGCCTCAGCTCTATGACGGTAAGTGATATGTACCTACACCCATACAATTTTGATGCGGCTATCGATTTACTTATCAGAAGTTCTAAAAATAGCATCGTTCGAAGAGTGTGTAGAGTTTTCATTGCGAAATTGTACTTTGTTTAAAGATCTGATAAACATGAAAGAAAAACAGCTTCAAACATTGAAAGCTTTTTATGATAAAATACTCTTCACAGGCCTCTTCATGAATGCCGCCATTTGTAATCCGAGAATTTGAAAGTATTTCCAATGGCGGAATTCGTTATTCAGCCAAACTAGATGTAGGGTACTGGAGTCTGCCGAGTGGCTGGTTCTTTTCATCATGCCTGGCTCAGATTTGGTGTTGTCCAGTTATGTTTTAATGCACGTTCATCACAAAGTTGAAAATATCAGGTACTAGTTCTGTAGTGCTTCACATTTTGTCAGAGACAACTAAAAACATTGAGAGATTCTAATTGTAGGCCACAATAGCCGCTTTATATAAATGAGTATTTTGTGGAATACTAACCCTGACCCTTTTTAAAAGACTGAACTTGGATCCAGTTTACCTTTTACTCTTCTTAAAAAGGTTAGGGTTAGTACTCCCCAGATTTATATAAAGCGACCATTGTGGACTCAGGAAATTCCTGAACCTCTCTAATTAGCATGTCCCAAAAGTATTATTTCCAGGTATGATAATACTTCGTCAAAATATAAGGGACATAACTCATTGTGGTAGCTAATTACTCATTTTCAATACAAAATAATATTAAGAGGGGCCAATCTTATTAAAACTTTATAAAATAACTTTTACAACTTTTTCTTGGCATTAGTTTTAGAAGTGATAACATTGTTTGACATTATATCAATAGATAATTTAACCATCTTAAATTGCTTTCTATCTTAAATTTGGAATGGGTCTGTGTATATAGCTTGTGTCTGCCAAGGGACATTAAACCCCATTTCATTTCATATTAGCACTAATAGTGTAATAGACATAGGACTTCCTGTGTCAGGGGTTTATTAAAGTGCAAATACGGTATAATGGTTGCCAAGAGTAATTCGGAAATTACTGCCGTCGGCGGGGATACAAAAAAATTTTGTAGTTTAAACTAGTACATATTTCTGTTCAAGTAAAATAACAGTTGGAACTTGATGAAAAAATAAACAGAATAGCCACCGTATGTGCAAAATTCTCCACCTACATGTATGGTAAATTGTTGCAATGGCATTTAGTAATTGAACTGGAATACAATTACTGCTTATTGTTGTTTACATGTATCGTGTATATTGTAGAGAAGTTTAGTGGAAACACCGCTCAGTAATAAGCAGTAATTGTATTCCTTAGAATTGTCACCTGTATATATATGTAACATTGGACTCCAAACCATCATTAAAACCATCTTTACCATAAATAAAAGCTACTTGTTAGTATCAAAATTAGAAGCGTATGTTAGCCTTTCTAGAGAGTATTAATATGATAAAACAAATGAAATGAAATGAAATGGGGTTTAACGTCCTACTGTTCTGCTCCTATACTGGGCTAATGAAGACGGACATACACATACAGTGTGCTATGAGGGAAATTTTGCCCGGGCAGCGGCACTATCGCCTACTCTTATATCGAATTCCAACTGCCAAGGGATCTTTTACGTGCATTCCAACGTATACAAGAGACCTCAGTTTTTCGTATCATACGAAGGACTAATGATAAAACAAGTGTGATATGATGTGAAATATTCTCTGTAGGAATTCCATTCCACAGTTGTACATGGCAAGGAGTAGGGTCAGGGTCGCCTGTCCATCCTCGTGGGTTTTCTCCGGGGCCTCCAGTTTCCTCCCAATACTAAAGACCCCTACGCGCAGGCCTGCTGTCAGTGATTATTATAGTTATGGTTGTTTTGAATAACATCTATTCCTATGCCAATGTTCAGTTGTAAATTTACACACAAGAAATAAAATAAGAAAATACTGTATATTGATAAGAAATACATTAGAAAATATATATATTAAAAGTCAGTTTATTAATATTAAATAAATGAATTGAACAGATCGGCGTAAGTTGTTCTACTGAAATACTTCAACTTCAGTTGTTGATTTCTCAAAACAGTTTTTTTCTAGAGTTACCAATTTTAGTCATGCTATATCTCTGAAAGTTATCGTCAGATTTTCTTGAAACTTGGGATATAACTTCCTATATAATAACTTTGTGCAATAGGAGAATTTTATTGAAATCTGCAAAATAGTTCCTGATATATTGTTGCCATAGCAACTGTGACACATGAAAGAATTTTGAAGTTAACATTAAAATATGTATAACTTGCTTTCTAATTATTATTTTGTAATGAAACTTGCCTATTGCACAAAGGAACATGTCAGTATCCTCTCTGCTTAATTTTAAAACATTCTGTTAAATAGTTTCTGAGAAACTGGATGACTAAAATTATACGTAGAAATCCAAAATGGCCGCCGTTTCCATAGCAACAGGTACCCCCAGGAAAATTTTTCGGCCGTTTTTGTAATATTCAATGGATGTGTTCTTAGATGTGTAAGAATGGTGACTTTACCTCAATAATTAAAAAAACTGAAATTTTCTACTGTCCACCCCCTTAAAGACAGGAGAAGACAACTTGTAACATTTAACCTCAACTCACTGATAATTTGCGTTCAAGTTATCTGCAGAATCGTCAACTACGTTTTCCTGTTCACACCTTATATGGGTACAATAAAATTAAACAAAATATTAAATATTCTGTGTAGCAGCAAAACTCAAGAAAAATATATGGTGCACAAATATCAGTTAATTTACAAAAATCTATCTCGCATGTGTACTGGTGAATTAACTCAGTAAAATATCTATCTTGCATGTGTATTGGTGAATTAACTCCAAGTAAAATCTATCTTGCATGTGTATTGGTGAATTAACTCAAGTAAAATCTAACTTGCATGTGTATTAGTGAATTAACTCAAGTAAAATCTAACTTGCATGTGTATTGGTGAATTTACACAAACACTTAACTGAATTTAAAACAATAGATGAATACTGGAAGATCAGTTCAATACTCCCATGACACTTTTGTGACTAGAATATGCATGTAGGGGTCTATAGCTGTTGGAGATAACCCAAGAAAAACCATGGGGTGGGGTCAATCTATAGAACAAAATGACTGAAGATACTAGTTACTTACTTGTCTTTTGGACTTTGGGTCGAATCGGTCGGACTTGTTTTGTTTGATACACTTGCTTCTAGTTTCGCTTTATTGTCGTTAGCGACAGTTACTGGAACGGATTCATTAGTAGTACTCTTTTCACTGAAATATTTAAATATCAATTATGAGAGAGAGACTAGAGACTCGACACAAACTAGGCTATTTCGGGACAAACATATGGTTCAATTATATTTCAATAATTTGCTTGCACATAGGGGTCTTTAGGAAACCAGAGGACCCAGAGAAAATCTAAGAGTTTGGACAGGCAAACCTACACCATGTCGCTTACAAGCGGGGAATTGAAACCATGCCACTTGACTCAAAGACAGACCAATAGACCCCCCCCGCCCGCCCCCTAAAACCCAGTTAATAATTCAGGGCCAAAATCACCTACTTACACAAGTGTATTAATCTCAGAATTATGCAAAGCTGATGAGTGATGAGACAGAAGTAGAAATAAAATTACTTACCTTGTTACAGTGGAGACCATATTAGAATCTTTATCTACCGGAACTTGTTTAGGGAATTCTGTAGATTCACTAACATCAGTTAATGTAACATCGTCTTTCTTATCAGTTTTACTTGCTTCTAACAGTTGATTTTCTAAATTAGCTGAAGCACTTTGTACTACTGTAAATATAGATACATAGTATAGTCACTGTTAACCAGTAAATATAGGAATATAAGTAGTATAGACCCTGTTAACCAGTCAATATAGAATATAAGTAGTACAGTCACTGTTAGCATGTATATACAGGAATATAAGAAGTATAGTCAAAGTTAACCAGTCAATATTGGAATATAGGTAGTATAGTCACTGTTAACCAGTCAATATAGGAATATAAGTAGTATAGTCACTGTTAACCAGTCAATATAGGAATATAAGTAGTATAGTCACTGTTAACCAGTCAATATAGGAATATAAGTAGTATAGTCACTGTTAGCATGTATATACACAGAGAGAGAGAGAGAGAAATGGGGTTTAAGTCCACTCGACACAAACTAGGTCATTTCGGGACTAACATATGGTTTAATTTTATTTCAATAATTCGCTTGCGCGTAGGGGTCTTTAGCAGTGGGAGGAAACCGGAGGACCCGGAGAAAACCCACAAGGTTGGACAGGCGACATTACTCCTTGTCACGTACAACCGAGGATTCGAAACCACGCCAGTTGACTCAATGACAGGTCGTATGATACAGCACGCACGTGCTAACCATTCGGCCATCCAACCCCCCCCCAATGTATATACAGGAATATAAATGAAATGTAATGAACTCGGGTTTAACGTCCTACTGTTTTGCTCCAAACTGGGCTAATGAATATAAGTAATATAGTCATTGTTAACTGCACATCCAATTGATGAAACGTTTTACCGTAAACACTACAAATAAATTTTAAATCAATCAGATATTAACTGATTTGTTTGTGGACACCGGACCACCGGACGGACCAACAGCAATATACAGCCACATTTCAGTGCAGGCGTATAAAAACGACCACAACTCAAAAAGAAAAATTTAGTAAAGTAAATATGCTATATGCTATGCTAAATATCTCAACCATACATTTGGCTCAAAATATCTGATATTAGATTGCCCAGAGAATAAATTAGCCATTTGTAAACATCACAGACACTTTTTGTGTCAAAGGGAGGAAACTCTAAATACATTTTTGTATCTGGTTGGACATATGTTACTGAGAGCAATTTGAGAAGTTACACTTACAATAGGCACTACTTCTTGTACTGTCACTGGTATCCATAGCAATAGGAGAACTATTTCTAGGCTCATGTGGACTATCTCTGAAATAAAATATTCACAAACTGTATAACAAATAATCATACAATTAATTTATAGCCTAGTTCACAACCCCACCGTACGCATCATCTGTGTGAGCGTCATCTGTGTGAGTTCGGCACCATAGGAGATCGCAGATGGTCGTAGAGACTTTTGGTCCTGCAATTCTAACTTTTCACCTGGTTTCTTGCAGCTGGTCTGCGAGCTACCAAACACATCGTCTGGTTGTGAGCTCTGCTTTACCTAATTACATTGTTAGCAGGACCAAAAGAATTAAATTTCAGAACCTTGATCAAATACCTCTTACAAAACCTTGAAATGAAGTGAAGTGAAATGGAGTTTAACAGACTACTTTTCTGCGGTCCTGCACAAGAGGTAACCCACACGAAAATCCCAAGGAACTTTCTCGGCCAACCCCAGGAGCGGAAAATCTCAAGGAAGTTTCTCGGCCAGTCCCAGGAGCAGCCCAAAACCTCTTAGTTGGTGAGCACAAATTACAGAATTGAACACATAAACATACTTTTTAGAAGTAGTATTATCTTTGGGAGGAAAACTTGTAAAATCGGCCCAATTCTCGGCTTCAGCAGTGGCTGGCACCTTATTTGTAAACTCTGCCCATTTATCTGGATTGTCAGTTGCTGATACTACCGGTACATTATCCCACGGAGAAGCTGTATCCATAGCAACAGGATCACCCTCAACATTGGCATCTTCGAAGTTTGCAACCCAGCCTCCTGGAAGACAGAAAATATTATTCTGGTGGTCAGACTGCTATTTGTTGATAATTTTATAAATAAACTGATTCAGTTGGGAATTCAATTACGATAATTCCCAGAGTAAATTTTGGTGCTCTCCCAAACACGAGGGAAATTTATTTATTAAGCACACAGTTTGTTAGTGAATTGGAAAGGCATCAATTTTATTCAGTCAGCAGTGCACAATTCTCATCGCCCGACACCTGGGTCCGGTTAATCATTATGTAGGACAGCTTAATTTTCGCATTCCGCCTGCCTGCGGACAAGCCAAATTTCTTAAATAATTTCGTTGAAATTGAAATAAAAACACTACTTTGTGACTTTTTAAAGCAGTTTAGTTCCAGTCCGCATAATAATAACTGCCGAATAGACCAACTTCAGTCACAACTAAGCCCACGACAGTGGTTTTGATAACAGATTACGGTACTTTGTGAAAATAAACGAGAACTGTCAAAAGGTCAAAAGCCGCTTTTATGACCTCTGACGCGACCTTCCACTACAACCGGTCAGACCTTCATGTAGTGTAGACCATCGAAAGAATAAAAAGATAGGTTGCCAGGCAACGAAACATATGCCCACAGCAGCTAAATTGGCCGGGCAGTCAACAAGAGTTGTCGCATACTTTTACTTTTGTCGGTAATGAAACATTTACAATACACTAAAATCTGATTTTAGATTAACAACTCATTAAGTAATTATCAGTAAATCATTAGAATTTGTTTGGCCCATGCTAACGTTTAGTATACAAAACATTCAATATCATGGATTTAGCTGTTCAAATTATCAAAAACCATTGAAAATCAATATACTTGTTCGTTTCAAGACCTTAAACTCTGTGAATGAAGCCCAAGTCAATCGAAACGATTATATATAGGCGTAAACACGGTGTATAAATATAAAATCAATCAGATGATAACTATGATCATAGAGCATCCACGGACGGACCGACGGCTGGATGGGGAAGACGACAATATACAACCACTTTTCAATGTGGGCGTATAAAAATGAAACAAAATATAAGATGTGTATTTTAACCAGATTGTGTCTGACATTTGTCTGGTTCATCTAAAATCCCAATTCCCACGCCTGTACATGAGATATTATGTATAGAAGACCTACCATCGACATCCATTTTTTCTGCGGAAGGTTTTTGTGTGATAACTCGTGGTGAATCTAATTCTTCTTCACTATCTGTACTCTCTTCCTCTTCGCTACTATTCTCACCTCGTGTCTCTTGTAATCTACTTTTACAAATAACCATATATATTAAGTTATAAGCATACGAGAGAGAGAGAGAGAAATGGGGTTTAACATCCACTCGACTCAAACTAGGTTCAATTTTATTTCAATAATTTGCTTGCGCGTAGGGGTCTTTAGCAGTGGGAAGAAACTGGAGGACCCGGAGAAAACCCATGACGTTGGACAGGCGACCATACTCCTTGTCACGTACAACCGGGGAATCAAAACCATGCCAGTTGATTCAATGACAGGCCTTATGATACAGCACACACATGCTAACCAATCAGCCACCCAACCTCCCATATATATTATGTTACCTGCATATGAAATGAAATGTGGTTTAACGTCCTACTCCTCCCTTGACTAATGAAGCAAGCATACGCCATGGTGTGCTATGAGAGAAATTTTGTTTGGAAAAGTTCCAACAGTCAAGGGTTCTATTACGTACACGCCAATGTATACATGGGACCTCGGTTATTCATTCCATCCGTCCTACACCACTGACAAGGGGGAACCACGCCGGAAAATCCCGATAACTTTCTCGACTAACGCAGAGATCAAACATGGGACCTCCAAGTTATCGAGCCAACATCCTACTCATTGAGGACCAGCATGAGTTTGCTTCCATTTCAATGGAAACTGAGTTCAATGAGCGTTGGTATAAGTTTCAATGGCAGCAGAGTTTAAAGTGATGGTTATTGAGTTCTAATTTTTGTATTTCAATGAAAAATAAGTTGTTTCCTTTTCAATGGAAATTGGAGTTTTTTTTCAAAGAAGATTGAGCTTGTTTTTATTTTAAGGTCAACAAATCATTTCCCCATATTAAGTTAGATCATTGGATTGTCCTTCCATTTTAATGGAAGTTGAGTTAAATTGTTTCCGTTTAAATGGAAATTGGAGTGCAAAAGATTCCTTTTCCCTAGAAAACAAGGTTTTTATTTCCTGTTTCAATGGAAATTCAGTTTGTTTTCATTTCACAAGATATTGAGTTTGATTCTGTTTAAATGGAAACCGAGTTTGTTTCTATTTCAAGGGAAATTGAGTTAGAATCGACATACTTTGGTCTGGTATTTATATTTTGTGATGAACTTTTATCAAATGTAAGTGGTTTTTCTTCCCAGATATCCTCATCACTGTCGTTATCATCGAACTGTTGGATCTTTGAGTTACATGCTTGTTCAAACATTGCTGTATTTGCATTCTGAAAATAATGACGGAAATTAAAGATACAATATGGCATGCGTTTCCACTTTCTCTTTAGGAAACCAGGTTGGAAAATCGTGAGGAATTGTTGCGACAACACCATTATCAAACCCCGATCCTCCTGGATACTGAGCCACAGTTTTAACAATAAACAGTTTTAGTCACCATTTACTTATGAATAATGAACGAACGCAACTAACTGGTTTGTCAGCACAAACGTAATGTGATAAAAAGGCTATGAAAATCATCATCTTTAACCATTACAACTCGGGTCTTGTGTGCTGTTTTAGCGGGATTTTCTGTATTTAATGTTTAGTTTCAAACCATTGTTGGCACATTGTTAATCATTGATAAATATTGGCTTTCTACTGACATGTAGTTTAAAATGGTCTGCCTTGATTAGATAATGAGTGTTGGGTTTGAAACTGTTTACTTTCCAAAACGGTATTGAATAATTAATTAGTCAGGCCCTGAGTTCACGAAGCATTCTCAGACTTAAGTTAAGAATTTTCTCAAAATTGTTTGCCTTATTGTAATTAAAATATAACTCTTTATAAAACTTTTGTTGCTTTAATGTATCAAATACATCAATAAAAAAATACATGTTTCTGGATCAAAGATATTTCTCATAAACAGTGATTGAAAGTTAAGTAAATTTTTTAAATCTGAGAATGCTTTGTGAAAATCTGTTAAAACACTACTTACATTTTCTTCATCAGCAGTAATATTAAAATCTATACTAGATATTCTCTCGTTAAAAGGTGCACTAAAAAATATACAGAAACAAAATAAACTTAAAGTCTGGTCAACTGATCAAATCTCTCAATTATAATACAAACAGGCTGGAAAAAACATTTTCTTTAACACTTTGAGCAAGAGTGGCTGTATTGTTATCATTGATGTTGTACTGCCCACAAGTACACAGTTCTCCAAGAGAGAGAGAGAGAAATGGGGTTTAACGTCCACTCGACACAAACTAGGTCATTTCGGGACTAACACATGGTTCAATTTTATTTCAATAATTCGCTAGTGCGTAGGGGTCTTTAGCAATGGGAGGAAACCAGAGGACCCGGAGAAAACCCACGAGGTTGGACAGGCGACACTGCTCATTGTCACGTACATTCGGGGAATCGAAACCCCGCCAGTTGACTCAATGACAGACCGTATGATACAGCGCGCGCATGCTAACCATTCGGCCATCCAACCCCCCGCCACAGTTCTCCACAACCTTACCGTGTTTATCTCAAGGCAAATGAAATGGGGTTTAATTTCCTTCTATTCTGCACTGACTGGGCTAATGAAGACAGACCATAAGTGTGCTATGAGGAATATTTTATCAGGACAATGGCACAATGGCCTGTTCTTTTATCGAATTCCAACTGCAAAAGGTTTCTTTACATCCAAACGACTATATGCTGTCCCTTGCCAGGCCCTCCGTCCTGCACCATACAGCATGCTACGAGGGAAATTTTGCCCGGACAGCGTCACGATGGCCTACTTTTTATCGAATTCCAACTGCAAAAGGTTCCTTTACATCCAAACAACTATATACTGTTCTTTGCCAGGCTCTCCGTCCTGCACCATTGACAAGAGGGAACCTAACCGAAAACCCCAATTAGAGAGAGAAATGGGATCTAATATCCACTTGACGCAGGGATCAAACACAGAACCTCCAGGTCAGCGAGCCAATGTGTGGCATTATACCCCTGTAAACCAGTAAACTTACTCTATTTTTTCTTCTTGTTCTGCGAATTCTTCCTCGTTAAAACCAAACTGATCAATGAAGGTACTGGTCATCTGTTGTAGCTGGTAATCAGAGAAGGCCTAATAAGGAAAGCAGGTAATGACACAGTCAAGAGCAAGATATTAACCCCGTCCTAACTAATAACACATGGGTGAGACAACAGCTACGGTTAGATATAACGCAACAGCCAGCAAATAATAACCCTGTCCTACCTGGACAACAGCTATTGCTAATCAGCTCCACAATGAGCAGCCATTTCAATAAATTATTTCACAGTTGTAGATTAGGGAAGTAAGAGAAGGGAATGGAATTTGGTTTAACGATGTGGTATGGCGGGGGGTAACATCCACTCGACACAAACTAGATCATTTCGGGACTAACATGTGGTTCAATTTTATTTCAATAATTCGCTTGCGCGTAGGGGTCTTTAACAGTAGGGAGGAAACCCAGAGGACCCAGAGAAAACCAACGAGGTTGGACAGACGACCCAGAGAAAACCCACGAGGTTGGACAGACGACCCTACTCTTTGTCATGTACAAGCTGGGAATCGAAACAATGCCACTTTACTCAATGCCAGACCTAACGATGCAATGTGCACGCATTAACCATTCGGCCATCTTCCTCACCCCAACCCCCCTGTATTATTCGTACCCATGATACCAGTCAACAAGAATTAACATACTGTAGACATTAAACCAGATTTAACTGACCACTGAAGTGGATTATGGTATAAGAGGAGGAAGCCCAACCATAATGTATTTTATGTCCCATTTCAACAGAGTGTCAAACTGTGAAACAACTTATAAATAATAACAGACAAAATAAAATCAAGCTCAAAATATAAGCATATATCAAGTGTCACAATTCAGGGGTATTTAACATTTGGCACAAACACCATGCTACATGTAACAATTATCCAATACAAAGAATAACAAATTTCACTTTAAATAACATTTCTATTCCTGATATTATTTCTTTATTAATTTAATCTTTTGTATGGCCTATCCTAAGTCCTACAGATAATATCGGGCACATGAAATGTAAAATGTTTGTCACCCATGGTCTAAATATTAAAACTTATATCAGATAGACGTTATGTGAAAGTTATACTTCATGTCGAAGGTCGATTTCCTATTTTTCACATTTCAGGGGATTTAGCTCAATCTGTTTCACAGAGATACTGCGATAAAGTCTTCTTATATCTCTGTTAAAAAGATGACTGCTTTTAACATGTAACGTTACATCATGGAGCATCAATCATTGGCGTGTTCATTATTTACATAAAACGTTACTGGTCAGGGCCCTTTACTAGTATTGCATACCCATTTACACTAAATAGGAAATATTTTCTACCTACATATATCACAAACATTTAAAAGAAGTTTTAGAATTTAATTTTTCGGAGGAAAAAAGTTAATATTGGGGGCTCATTAAGTCGCATCGATGCTATCCTTATCTGTGATTGTAGCGGCCTAGCGAATATTCACTGCTGATCAATGTGAATTTAGCTATGGCAGATTTATCTAAGGGGGGATGCTATATAACCATCCTTTCCTTTTATGACAAAATTTAAAGTGTGTATATAAACCTACAAGGTATTTATTTCAACGATTGTCACCAAGCTTCTCTGATAAAACCTAAGCAAAACATGTAGGCTTACACGCTCAAGATTTTTAAACAATTTAAAAACAAAAAAGGGTTCAATCAAAATGTAGGTTTACATGCTCAAGATTTTATATTTTTTTTTAAAAAAAAGGTTTAATCAAAAAGGAAACATGCAAAACAATAATATAGCAGATTAAGCAGTATAGAACAACTGGAATGAGGGCTAAGAAAAAAGAGAAAATAAACCTATCGTACAACAATGAAGAAAAGAGTCATAATTTAGAAATCGAGAGAAAGAAATAGGGATTAAGATCCACTTGACACAAACTAGGTCATTTCAGGGATAAAATGGTTTGATTTTTTATTTCAATATTTCGTTTGTGCGTAGGAGTCTTTAGCGGTGGGAGGAAATAGGAGTACCCGGAGAAAACCCACGAGGTTAGACAGACAACCCTACTCCTAGTCACGTACAAGCGAATAAAGGAAACCATGACTCAATGACAGACCTTTCGATCTAACGCGCAGGCGTCAAACCAACCAGACCCCCCTCCCCCACCTGATTCATGGATTAGAATATAGAAATAGGTTAACAATCTACATCTTTTGCTAAGTTAAGAAATGGAAATGAAATGTGGTTTAACATTCTAGTTCGACTGGGCTTATGAAGACAGGTGTATGCCATACATTTTGCTAGAAGGGAAATGTTGTCTGGACAGCGGGATTATGGCCTACTCGCATCAAAAACCAACGGTCAAGGGTTCTTTTAGGTGGATGCCCATGTGTACATTGGGCCTCATTTTATTTTTGTCCCATCCAAACAACTATCCGTTGTCCCTACAAAGTGAAGATATATTGTACTGGATGTAGCTTACCTGTTGCATGGCAGTATCCTGAGGAAATGGAATGTCTTTAAAATCAGCATCATCATCTTCACTACTCGATCCTATTGTATGATTTCTTAACTAAAATACAAACAAAATCATGGCTTACATCAGAGAGCAAAGGATAGAAATGGGGTTTAACCACCACTTGACACAAACTAGGTCATTTTGGAACTAACACACGGTTCAATTTTATTTCAATAATTTGCTACATGTACGGGTCTTTAGTAGTGGGAGGAAACTGGAGAAAACCCACGAGGTTGGACAAGCCACTCTACTTCTTGTCACGTACAAGCGGGGGAATCGTTTGACAGACCTTATGATCAAACGCCCACGTATTAAACCATTTCGCCACCTACCCCCCCCCCCCCCCTCAAAAGTCTCACATCAACTTCAAATGGTTGGGACTAACATTTAGAACATCTAAATAAATCATTCATTTTACTTGAGAAGAAATAAACATCCTGAGGAACAAATATTTTGCACCAGATAGTAAAATTTCTATGGTCTTAAATAAATATCAAATTTAAAAATACTAATCATTGGAAGAAAAAGAAAACAGGAAATGAAATGAGGTTTAACGTTCTACTGTTCTGTTCCGACTGGGCTAATGAAGACGGGCATATGCGGGATATTTTGACCGGGCAGCGGCACTATGGCCTACTCTTATATTAAATTCCAATTGCCAAGGGATCTTTTACGTGCATGCCAATGTGTACATGGGACCTTGTTTTTTCATCCCATCCGAACTAGACAGCTGTCCTTGTCAGGCTCTCCGTCCTGCACCACTGACAAGAGGTAACCATGTCGGAAAATTCCGATGAACTTTCTGGGATCGAACACGCAACCTCCAGGCTAGCAAGCCAGTATCTAACCCAGTAAGCCACCGAGGCTCTTGGAAGAAAAAAAATTGTAACGACTTGTGGGAGATACACGAAACAATGAAATAAAATGAGGTTTAACATCCTACAGTTCTGCACCTACTGGGCTAATGAAACAGTAACTTACCAATTCTATTGTATTTTTCTTGTTTGTATCTGCTAATGAACTGCTCACAAATTTTTCCCATTTTTGCTTCTCTTCATCACTAACATCTGAAAAAAATTCAATCCAGCATTATATTTATATAAATCATATAATTTCTAAATTAAAGAGGTACTATGGGAGATTAGATAAAGAGTTGATTGTAATATAATAGTTAAAAAATAGAGAACGTAAATAGAATATGTTGAAAATTGCAGTCAAATGGCTCCACTCTGAACCGCGAAATTAGCTTTTGAATTTTAGGCTAGCCTCAATCATCATTACTATAGTCGGTACGAGAAAAAACATAAGTCTCGATTATCCATTTTTGGATTTAATCATCAATGAGCGTTGAGCAGCAGATCAGATTCAAATCCAGTGAAAATCCGACACATAAGATGACACTGAGAGTTGATTATGGTTTGGATAAGTTAATTATTAATGTCTGATTTGTCAATACTGGCTGACCACAGTTCGGCAGTTTTTGCGCGAGGTCACTTGATTTCACCTGAAGTCGACAGAAGTTTGGCTGTGGCGTACGCCGAATGCGACGCTTTGGCGGCAGCAGCGAACACCGGCGGAAGATGGTGAACATGTCAACGAGATAAAATTCACGTTATTTAGGAATGCCATAAAACACTAATTTTAAAGCGTTAAAATTAAACCAAGTGTTTTGAAGTTGAATTTGAGCTTCGTAAAACCAGAAGTTCATATGTTATTTATTTTTTCTCAGTAATATTACTAATAATAATTTTCAGCTTATTTTGCGGGCACTTTCAAGTCATACTGTTTTTGATTAAAAGATGTCATGTAACCGGTTTAATATTATAACATTATCCGATGCCATATTGTTTATCAGCCGGGTCACTTGATTTGCTTCGATACGGTAACCTGACAGGCGTACGCCGTAGTAGAAACCGGCTCACTTATCGGCGAACAAATCAAGCAGGCCCACTGTTGTTATATACTGTTGACTAACCTGTAAACTGATCTTTGACTAATTCACAATTATCTCCCTTTTCCATAGCACTAACTAATGCATTGGCCATTTTAGTTAAATGTCCCATAAAGCCTTTTCGTTTACCATTTTCTTTGCCCCTACAAAAAAAAAAAAATTTAAATTTTAGTCAAGTGATACTGTGGTTTTAACTTTGAGGGTTTAAGATTAAGCTCCACTTACCACTAGGTCACCCTCGGGACTAACTTATGGTTCAATTTTATTTCAATTGTTCGCTTGCCCTAAGGGTTCTTTAGTAGTGGGGGGAAACCGGAGGACTCGGAGAAAACCCCTAAGGTTAGGCAGGCAACCCTTCCGCTTGTCACGTACAATTGGGGGTTCATAACCATGTCACTTGACCCAATGACAGACCTTCCGATCTGCAGAGCAAGCGTTAGACCAATTCGTCGCCCAACCAGCCCAAAAAATTTACATACCATTAAATTGATATTTAGCACGATCCTCTGATAAAATAAGTAAATGAAATGGGGTTTAATGACCTACTGTTCTGCTGCAACTGGGCTAATGAAGACAGGCATACGCCATAGAGTGAGCTATGAGGGAAATTTTGGCCAGACATTGGCACTGTGGCCTACTCTTATGTCTTATATCGAATTCCATCTGCCAAGAGATCTTTTACGTGCATGCCAATTTATACACAGGACCTCGGTTTTCTGTCCCATCCAAACGACTAGTAACCTGTCCTTGTCACTCCCTCCATCCTGCACCCCAGACAAGGAGAAACCATGTCAGAGAATCCTGATGAACTTTCTTGGCCAAAGCAGGGATTAAACACGAGACCTCCAGGTTGGCGAGCCAACGTCTTACTCACTGAACCACCGTTGATAAATAAGCGTAAAAATATCTTACTCAACGTTGTCATTTTCCTGCCATTCTTCCGTTAACCTCTGTATTATTTTTGACCCTGAAAATAACTAAAATAAAAGACATTAACATGTTATGAGGAAGATTTTGCCAGCCAGCGGAATTTAAAATTACTATTCATCAAAATCCATCATCCAAGAGTTCCTTTAGGTGCACGCCTACAAGTACATGCGTGGACCTCCAGATTAATGAGCAGGCACGTTACTCACAGAGCCACTGTGACTCCTATTTAATGAGCCACACTTTACTCCCAAAGCACCATGGGTCCTTATAGTTAAAGAGCCAGCACTTTTTTAACTGAGCCACCGTGGCACCTAAGTTAACCCTTTCAATGCTAGACGTAAATCCACTGCCTGTGCTAGACCCTTTTTTGAGGAAAAAAGGGAGGTTGGAACTGAATGCCAAGCAGTACTTATGGAAGCTTTTATGAAAAATCTTTTTGTCTGTTGGGATGGGCATGAGGTTGGGCTAAGAGGAAAAAATAGAATTTTGGAAATTTGCATAATAATGTAGTCACGTGACGTTATGGCGGCCATTTTGGATTTCTCATTTCTCACTAAAGCTAACACGAACACAAATTTTTCTCCATGAAATACTTAAAAGATATTGTTTTTTTCACTGGATTTTGATAAAGATATATAAAATGAACAAAAATATCAATAGCAGCCATGACCAATGCCGCCACAAACACGCGCATCACGTCTCCCGCTGCCATGACCACGTGCGGATTGTAATACCTTGTTTTTACTTTCACTTTCCTCCCCAAGTCCCATATCATTATCAATATAGTCAGTCAATAGATCTACACGTTCGGGACTCAGGAATTGCCTACGTCTTTTACGATCCAGCAGGCCAGCATTATCATCAACATCAGAATTATTGTCAGAATCTACTGCAGACACAGGGCTATCGTGTTCACATTGGGCTTGTTCATCATGCACGGGAGACATAGCTAGCCATGGGCGGAACGTCGCGCAACAAATCACACACTTCATAATACCAATCACTGTCCTGACTACAATCAGAATCAAGTAACTGGAAACGAATTATGTGTATCACCCGCCTCGAAATTGTCCACGTGTTGGTCAGCAAGACGTCATTCACGACTTCGTCGAGAGTGCATCGTCTACTTTGTCACTATGCACTCCGCCATTTTACGGTTTGCGCTTTGAAACACGTGGAAATATGTTCTAGTGTATAGAAAATACAATAGATGGCACTTGCAGTTACGGTAATTTTAGCGAGGGCTTTACTGAGTACACGGTAATACCGGGTACGCGCATTTTACCGACATTTTATAATACCCGGTACTACCGGGTATACGCAGTGAAAGGGTTAATACAAGTGAAAAGTGACTTCTTCGATTTACCTGAGCTGGTGAGCCAGCCCCTTACTCACTGAGCCACCAGGATAATGATATCTCTGATATATTGTAATATTTACCTGAGCTAGTAATGGATGTTGCTTGCGACCATCTATTTCAACAGGTAAGTTTGTGAGTATTGTAGATAAACACTGTTCAACTTGGGTATGTAAAAAATTATTCCATATATATTTAAAATAGAGATCCTACAAAATAAAATACAATATATATCTAGTACAGGGCATTTTTACCTGTTTCACAGTTACAGATTTCACATCATAACTTATTTTATTTCATCGACTACGTCTTTTCACCTACAAACTAAGTGATGTCTGTATAATTACAGACCGAACGCCGGAACCGGCCTCCAGATTCATTGATTGGACAGTTCTGTATAGAACTTACTATTTTAGGAAAAATAAACCAAATGGGGTTTAATGTCCACTCAACACAAACTAGGTCATTTCAATAATTTTATCGTTGGACCTAACCCTAACCCTACTCTTGGGAAATCGAAACCACACCACTTGACTCAATGACAGACTTTGTGCACACGTAAAACCACTAGACCACTCAACCTCCTGATTTTCCGATTAGATTCACCTTTCACAATATTGCAAGTGATTCCTATAGAGCTAAAACGGTGCATCAAGACTTTAAAGATGGGTTCCCGTGTATAAACTGGGTGTTTTAATGGTATAAATTGACTAAAAACATATTCAAACTAATTAATTTGTCATAAATATGCTTCAAATCCTTCTCAAACATTGTAATTATGTTTACGTCACGTCTTGGAAGTCATCTTTAACTCAGAAATGAAGAACAGACCAAGCCTATTTCAGTATCCACCCCTAAACTTTGATTGGCACAGGCTATGAAGTAACAAGATATAGAGGATATTTGTCGTTTTAGAGTGAATAACATATTTTATTTCATCGAGAAGCAAGAAAACTTAGCATTCGTGAAAATATAAACGTTTTCTTGCTTAGAGATGAAATAAAATATGTTATTCACGACAAAACAACAAATGTTCTATTTATTTTATGATTTTACAATCATTTTAGGTAAAAACAACATGGACTACTGCTAGCCAGTGGAATAACACTTTTATTTCACTGATAAAACGCGGTATTCGACTACTGATCATAAAATAAAAAAAAGTTGTCTTACCAATAAAACATGTACTGTGTTAAGATTGGCTAATTCTGTATTAACTGAATGTGTATTAGTTGATATTAGTGCTGTGATTAATTTGGCTATTTGTAAACGGGTATTTCCTAATGGTGGGTCCAGATGACCAGCGGTGGTTGGCATTGCACAAAATCTTTGCTGGAAAAAAAAACAGCGGCTGCCAGGCAGGATTCGCCCACATTTTTGAGAGATGGAAAGAGAACAAGGAACTGAGATCTTTGTGTTATAAACTTACATTTCAAGTTTCAACAAAATCGGATAAAAATTGTGACCTCTATAGGGTCCACAACCTTGATATACCATATCTTTACGCTATTTGAGAACGAACGGCGGCCATTTTGTCTGTCAATTTTGGGCCGATTTTCACGAAATTCGAACTCAACCTTCCTTAGGGTGTAACGGTGATATAATAATACGGTTTTTTAAATCGGATAAAAATTATGACCTCTATAGGGTCCACAAGCTAAAAACGTGATTTTTCGTACAATCAGGGGCCATAATTCAGGAAGTTACGGTCCGATATGCGCGAAGATCGAAAGGAACCGAGATCTTTGGGTTATAAACTTACATTTCAAGTTTCAAAAAAATTAGATAAAAATTGTGACCTCTATAGGGTCCACAACCTTGATATACCATATCTTTACGCTATTTGAGAACGAACGGCGGCCATTTTGTCTGTCAATTTTGGGCCGATTTTCACGAAATTCGAACTCAACCTTCCTTAGGGTGTAACGGTGATATAATAATACGGTTTTTTAAATCGGATAAAAATTATGACCTCTATAGGGTCCACAAGCTAAAAACGTGATTTTTCGTACAATCAGGGGCCATAATTCAGGAAGTTACGGTCCGATATGCACGAAGATCAAAAGGAACCGAGATCTTTGGGTTATAAACTTACATTTCAAGTTTCAAAAAAATCGGATAAAAATTGTGACCTCTATAGAGTCCACAACCTTGATATACCATATTTTTACGCTATTTGAGAACCAACGGCGGCCATTTTGTCTGTCAATTTCGGGCCGATTTTCACGAAATTCGAATTCAGCCATCCTTAGGGTGTAACGAAGATATATTAGAACGTTTTTTTAAATCGGATAATAATTATGACCTCTACAGGGTCCACAAGCTAAAAACACGATTTTTGGTACAATCAGGGGCCATAATTCAGGAAGTTACGGTCCGATATGCGCAAATATCGAAAGGAACCGAGATCTTTGGATTATGAACTTAGATTTCAAGTTTCAACAAAATCGGATAAAAATTGTGACCTCTATAGTGTCCACAACATTGATATACCATATTTCTACGCTATTTTGCTAACGAACGGTGGCCATTTTGTCTGTCAATTTCGGGCCGATTTCCATGAAATTCGAACTCAGCCAACCTTAGGGTGTAACGGTGATATAATAGAACGTTTTTTTAAATTGGATAAAAATTATGACTTCTATAGGGTCCACAAGTTAAAAACGCGATTTTTCGTACAATCAGGGGCCATAATTCAGGAAGTTACTGTCCGATATGCGCGAATATCGAAAGGAACTGAGATCTTTGGGTTATAAACTTACATTTCAAGTTTCAACAAAATCGGATAAAAATTGTGACCTCTATAGGGTCCACAAGCTAAAAACGTGATTTTTCGTACAAACAGGGGCCATAATCCATGAAGTTTCGATCCGATACATGCCAATATCGAAAGCAGCCGAGATCTTTTGGAATAAACCTATATTTCAAGTTTCGTCGAAATCAGATAAGAATTGTGACCTGTAGAGAGTCCACAAACAATTGTGGACGGACGGACGTCCGGACGGACAGGGGCGACGGCATAATACGTCCACATGAAAATGTGGGCGTATAAAAACAAACTAACATAAATAGATCATTGGATTGGTTGTGGAACTGAATAATGATGACAATGATGTGGATCCATACACTTAAACATACATTATGCAAGAGCTAAATCTGCCTATTGCATGTCTTTCTTTAGGCTTGAAATGTTATTTAAATTATTATTTAGACATTAATTAATTTATCCAGGCCACAATCAACTCTCGATGCCATCGCTAGGCTGCGATATATATTGGATTTGAACACATTTTGTGAAGGATGATCGAACGTCAAAGTCGATAACCAGAGAGTGAGAGAGAGAAATGGGGTTTAACGTCCACTCGACACAAACTAGGTCATTTCGGGACTAACATGGTTTAATTATATTTCAATAATTCGCTTACGCGTAGGGGTCTTTAGCAGTGGGAGGAAACCGGAGGCCCCGGAGAAAACCCACGAGTTTGGACAGGCGAAATCGATAACCAAGAATGGAGCAATTTGACTGAGATTTTCAGGATATTCTCTTTACATTATCTTTTTTGTAACTATTATAGCGAGAACTGTCAACTCTCTATCTAATTTCTTATAATGTCCCTTTAATTCATATGGCTTAGAATGTCTCGAGATTCCTCATGGTTTGTGTCCATTATCCGTTGGGTTTCAAGTCTGGAAATAAGTCATCTGTCAGACACAGTTCCTGTAGTGTCTCATTTTGTTCGACAGGATTTGTCTGTTTTAAGTTTTTCTACAGATATCTATAAGCATATCCAGTTAAAAAAGTCAGGTCCAAGAACATCTAATTTAATTATTTACAGTTCTGGGTTTTTAGATAGCTTTCAAGTATGGCAAATATAGGTCTTCCTCAAAATACATCAAGTTTATTTTCATTATTAAGGTTCTAAAAGCAATGACAGGGAAGACAATTTTGAAAAGAAGCAGAATTTCAGCCCATACAATTGTCTACCAGGACGGCAGATCGTTTTGTCAATCAACAACAAAGGATACTTCTGGCAGAACCTCCAGACAACTTGTTATTGAACTTTAAATTGTTTTATTAATACACAACAATTCAAACTCAAGACATTCTAGGTCCTGTGTACTGTTGTTTGTACGGTTCAATTTACATTTAACGTCCAATTGACACAAACAAGGTTATTTCGGGACTAACATATGGTTCAATTTTTATTTCAATACTTCTCTTGGCCATAGGGGTCTTTTAGCTGTTTGAGGAAACCAGAGAACACCGAGAAACCCACGAACATGGACAGGCTACTCTGTTCCTTGGTACGTACAAGCATGGAATTGAAACCATGCCAAATGACTTGATGACAGACTTTATGATCTATTGAGCACCTGTTGAACCATTCGACCACACATCATCCCCTGGAGACTTACCTTTGGTGGGTCTAATAATAGATTATGGAAGTCTTTTAATCGTGGAGTTATCGCTGATAATACACTGTTAACACCTTGTGAAAGACGATCTGTATCTAATGCTGACATCTGATCATTATTACCTTCAGGCCTGAAGCCAGAAAACAAACTACTCTCGCTAGAATAACATTTCAAAAGATAGGTTACCAGGCAACGAAACATACACCCACAACAGTTCCCTCGTCTCATGACCTTAAACACTGTGTATTAATTTAAAATCAATCAGATATTAAGTTTAGCCTCTAGAGCGTCCACAAGATTTTTAAAAAAAAAACCAACCCAAAAACAGATTGAAAAATGTCAAGACTATAATGAGATTTGTTGAGGAACGTCCGCAACAAAATGGTTGGAGCCATTCATCAATCACATACACGTTAGCAAGAAGCATAAGTGAGAATTGCCATAATTATTAAAGAAACTAAATTGGTAATATTTTGGAGCTAGAAATTGGCACAAATGGGTCGCAACACATATAATAAGAATTTATATAAACTGTTTTACATTCAATCATTTCTGTTTTACTGTGAATTGTCATCAGTTATGTTCGTCGATATACGCCAGAAGTCTCAACCGAAAGTCAGTTTCTAGCGTCTGGTTATTCCAGTCAACATCGATAGTATTTATTGTGCATGCTCTACAAATAAGAATATGGCATTACCGTTTGATATGACATGTGGAATATACGTCTAGCCTCATTCTTTGAGCACCTTGTTACAAATTGCACTGAAACGCATTATGGTACAAGATTTGTGTACCAAGAGTAAAATGTTTATTTTGTCCGAAATATTGGATATCAGAAGCCCATTTTTTCCAGGTAAGATCACCACACCAATGCTGATTTAAATTGCAAAAAAAATTCGTGTTTTCAATGTCGAAGATTTTGGATGATATTGGGTTACGGACTTAGCTACTTTAACACAAACAGAACACTGAATCTACTGAAAGATCAGCCACTGGCTGAAATCTTTTACATGTAACTTGTGTGGGACACATTTGTATAAAATTTCTTTTCAAGAAAATATTTAATCCTCTCATTCGGCACATTCTTTGATTAAACAGAGAAAGATAGAGAGAGACATTGGGTTTAATGGCCACTCGATACAAACTAAGTCATTTTGGGACTAATATATGGTTCAATTTTATTTCAATTATTCGCTTAAATGTAGGGGTCTTTAGCAGTGGGGGGAAACCGGAGGACCTGGAGAAAACCCATGAGGTTGGACAGGCGACCCTACTACTTGTCACGTTCAACTGGGGAATTGAACCCCCGTCAGTTGACTCAATGACAGATCTTATGATACAGTGAGCACGCTAACCTTTCGGCCACCCAACCCCCCTCCTTGATTAAACAAAATATTTTTTTTTTTAATATATAATATTATTATATTCTTACCCCTGTCTTCGAACTTCTAATAAAGTATGAATAACAAATAAACCATTAACTAAAACAGATTCATTCTTTTCTGTATCTAACATATTCGTTAATAATTGACTAACAGTTTCTTCTCTGAAAAATAAACCACAAAAAGTCAAATGAAATGAAATGGGGTTTAACGTCCTACTGTTTTGCTCTGAACTGGGCTAATGAAGACGGGCATACGCCATACAGTGTGCTATGAGGGAATTTTGCCCGGACAGCGGCACTACGGCCTACTCTTATATTGAATTCCAACTGTCAAGGGATCTTTTACGTGCACGCCAATGTGTACACGGGACCTCGGTTTTTGTCCCATCCGAACGACTAGACACAAAAAGTCAAAGAAAATCATGGTTTGACTGTCGTTACATATGAATGAATATTCCAAGTGCCATGGGATTTTGCAAAAATTTGGAAGTAGGCTTAAAATATCTGGAAATGTTTTCTCACACAACAACCGATTTTTAATCTGGAGTAGAATTCTGTTATGTGATGGTCAATGTGTTCACAGATTGACTGTGAGTATTTTTCCACTTGAGACTTTCTAAGTGAGAATTAAGAGCAGGACGATCTTTACCCTCTTCAGATGAAACGATACAAATATCTCCCAGATATATTATACATCAATTTCTAGCACAATAAAAGGGTATATGTTAATAAATGAAAAGGGGTTTAACATCTTACTGTTCTGCTCCGAACTTGGCTAATGAGCTAAAATTTTGCCCGGAGAGCGGCACTACAGCCAACTCTTATATCGAATTCCAACTGTCAAGGAATCTTTTACATGAACGCCAATTTGTACATGGGACCTCGGTTTTTTGTGAGAGAGAGAGAGAGAGAGAGAGAGAGAGAGAAATGGGGTTTAACGTCCACTCGACACAAACTAGGTAATTTCGGGACTAACATATGGTTTAATTTTATTTACATAATTTGCTTCTGCGTAGGGGTCTTTAGCAGTGGGAGGAAACCGGAGGACTCGAAGAAAACCCACGAGGTTGGACAGGCGACCCTACTCCTTGCCACGTACAACCGGGGATTCGAAACCACGCCAGTCGATTCAATGACAGACTTTATGATACAGCGCGCGCACGCTAACCATTCAGCCATCCAACCCCCCTCGGTTTTTTGTACCATCCGAACGACTAGACAGCTGTCCTTGTAAGGCGTATCTATTAATAGTAAAGATAATTGTAACTTACAATTCCATGGTAACTAATAGTGGATCAGGATCAGAAGAATCTTGTTGCTGTATAATCTGTTCTCTTCCTAATCTTACAATATCACATAAAGACTGGGCAGCATTACAATGTATCTACAATATAAACACATCACATAAAGAGAGGGAGAGGGAGAGAGAGAGAGAGAGAGAGAGAGAGAGAGAGAGAGAGAAATGGTGTTTAACTCCACTTGACACAAACTAGGTCATTTCGGGACTAACATATGGTTTAATTTTATTTCAATAATTCGCTTGTGCTAACCAATCGACCATCCAGCTCCCCTCTAGAATGTATAAACAGTAAGGGTTATATTTGACTGTTTAATGATATCATAGTCTACCAATATAAAACATGTGACTTACATCTTCATCTTTTTCTGGGACAATACTAGCTACTAATCGTTCTACTACTTTCTGTTCATTTAACCACTGAAACATAAAACATGGCAAAAAGTTACAAAACAGTTGTCATCTTTTTTTTCTTTTTAAACATAAGGCAAATTTCAAGTAAATGTTTATTTAACATGGTAAATTAGACCATTAACACCAATAAATACATCAAGATCTTGACTGATAGAGAGATATTAAATGGGGTTTAATGTAGGGCTGGCAATTGATACGAATTTTAAATATCGATATCGGCAACCATTTCGGCAATATCAATATATCGAATTTAAAATTTGAAGTTGAAAGAAATAACTGTTTGTATGATAATAATGCATTTAAATGTGTTATTTTTCAAATAAAAAAAAAACTATGATTCTCAAACTATATTTTCTTAATGTTTGTTTCGTCCACAACTTATCTGATGAGGTTATTAACAAAATAGTATTCGCAGCTTCGCGCTCGCCATCAATCACTGTTGACAAATATGTACACAATATGTACACAGGATAGTGTTTTTTTCATTCCATCCGAACAACTAGACCCCCCCCTGCCTTCGACCTGTACCCACTGACAAGGGGGATTGAGGACCTTTCTCGGCCATCATGGGGATTACACCAGAAACCTCCCGTTTAACGAGCCAGGGTCTTAATCACTGAGCCACCGCGGCTTGTATATTTGAGCTGATAATATAATACTTACATCTATCACAGCCCTTCTAATGGTAATAGATTCTATACAAGTTATAAGACGTAATAATAAATCCATTATAGCTGAAGTCCCTATATGACGTAACAAACTTCCTACAAAATCTTTCCTACTTTTTAAATATTCAAATATCTGAAAAAAATAAAAAGGTATATCAGACATGAATAAATATTTTGTAAAACCATAAACAGTGGAAATATGTCAGAAAAAATTAAATATTCGAATATCTGAAGGAAAAAAAAAGAAATATCAGATCTTACTACATATTTTGTACAACTATCAACAGTGGAAATGTCAGAAAACATTCATCTTTTTAAGTACAAGGATGACCAAAAGCCATTGAAAATTTAATTTTATACTTGTTTGGTGGGACATATTACGCAAATTTGTCTGTGATATCTTTGAATTCATCATCAATAAGGGCCACTGACCAATTTTTATAAAATACCATTAAGAATTCTGTCCAATATCACATTCATAGGCTTTAAATGTGAAACAATAATCATGGAGTAAGTCCAAAGTTGACAATTCTTGATTCCAAAGGAAATGAAATGTGGTTTAATGTCCTACTGTTAGGCTCTGACTGGGCTAACAAGACGGGTATATGCCATACAATGCGTTTTGAGGACAATTTTGCCCAGGCAGCAGCACTATGGTCTACTCTTATATCGAATTCCAACAGTCAACGGATCTTTGAATGCACGCCAATGTGTATACACAGGACTCTGGTTTTCAGGAGTAGACAGCTGTCCTTGTCAGGCCTTCCATCCGCCACCTTTGACAAGGGGGAAACCACGTCGGAAAATCCCTTATTTCAAAAGAGTTCCTCCTTCATTTACAACAATACTAAATGAACATATTAGTAGACGCAAATGTGGGCGTGTATAATAAAAACAAACATCCTCTCACCATTTCACTTTTCCTAGTTATTAACAGTCCCATTACTTTACTGAAGAAACTGGCTAACAATGGATTTAATGGTTGATCAGACTCGAGGAACGAGTAAAGTTTATCTACTAACTCCTCATCACCTGCTAATTTGTCATTTATCTGGGAGACATCAGATGTTAATAACTCGCACGCTGTATTCGGATACCTAAAATAATAGCATGCAATACAAAATATAACTGAAAATATAATCAAGAGCATATACTTTTGTTAAATTAACATGCAAATGACTCGTTAATTCTGATCGACTAAATCCAATCATAAAACTTCTATAATTATTTCAATATCTCCAAATAAGACTATAAATGAATGAATAATGTTATTTCAACAAAAACAGGGCAATAAGAAGCGAACAAATTCAGAGACTTCTTACAAAAAATGTAAAGATGGAGTTGTCTCCCCTTAAATTACCTAATATCAACTTATATACCACATTTTGTGTTATCAAAATTACAAATAAAACATAAAACATAATATCAGTAGCAATACCACATCATTTCTATTCATTCCATTTATCAAAATATAAATAAATATAGGAAAAAATTTCAAAAATTGTAAAATGTAAATTTTGACCAAAAAATAGAGTTATCTTTCCTTACACCACAAAAGTCATTTTATGACAGTCACTACAATGAACATAACCATTTCTTTTTTAATCGACAAGACAGAAGGTCTATAAAAAAATATTCACAACTTGAACTAAATAGAAAATTTAGGACTTGAGTACATTGCAAACTGTTAAATTTTCAAAATCAATATGTATATTTAACAATTAGTATGATTAATGGCCGCAAATTTTCCCGAATGATTTAAGTTTATTAACTAGAGAACTTACTTAAATCTAACTTTTTCTTCTACTTCTTCAGAAGGATCAGTGGTTATCATGTTCACCATTGATTCCATATTTTCTGGCAGAATCAGGCTAAAATAGAATAGGATAGTGGTTAAGGTTTCAGCATTATCGCCGTGAAACAGTTTGGACAAATGACATGCTTATCGTACACATGCCTTCCCAAATGACAAGTAATAAAATTAACACCATTAAAATAAAATAAAACTTCAAAAGAGTCGTATTCTCTGTGTAAATTTCCAAGCCCATCTCAAGTAAACAAAACATGTGACGGATTGTACAACTGACAACAATTTAAGAGTCTTGAATGGAATGATATGGAGTTTAACGTCCTACTGTTCTGCTCCTATACTGGGCTAATGAAGACGGGCATACGCCATACAGTGTGCTATGAGGGGAAATTTTGCCCGGGCAGCGGCACTATCGCCTACTCTTATATCGAATTCCAACTGCCAAGGGATCTTTTACGTGCATTCCAATGTTTACACGGGACCTCAGTTTTTCGTATCATCCGAAGGATTAGACAGCTGTCCTTGGCAGGCCCTCCATCCTGCATCACTGACAAGGTGAAACTACATCGGAAAATCAGTATGAACTTTTCCGGCCAATGCAGGGATCGAACACCCGACATCCAGGCTAGTGAACCAGCAGTCTGGAATGGAATTAAGACTGTCAGATCACTATGTTTGGAATTGTGGAAAAGAAACTTACAAATCAACAAGTTTCCTGTTTTGAGCTTTACATTCCTGTAGAATATCATCTTCATCCATTAATTCATGTAACGTGACATCCTGAAAAATATACATACAATTAAAGTATTTTATGAGTTCAATTGTGATGATAGTGTTGTGGATAGTTTTAGAGGAGATACAGTAGTACACAAAACTCTAGTTGTAGTTTATTGAAACAGCACCCAGTTTTGAGAGAGAAATGGGGTTTAACGTCCACCCAACACAAACTGGGTCATTTCGGGACTCACATAATATGGTTCAATAATTCATTTGCGTGTATAGGTATTTAACAGTGGGAAGAAACAGAACCTGTAGAAAACCAACGAGGCAAGGATGGACAGGCAACCTTACTCCTTGTCATGTACAACCGGGGAATCAAAACCATGTGACTAAATGGCAGACCTTATGATACAACACGCATGCGCTAACCATCCGGCTATCCACCCCTAACCCAGTTTGAAGGCTAACTAAAAAGAAATAGCCAATTAAATAAACATAATTACTGGCATCAACAGCAAAAATTCTTATGGATCAGCATATCGAAGAGGCAAAAAACTAGTACAACGTTTATTCTTTTTAAGAAAAAACGTGGACTTTTTGTTCGTCAAAATTTACTTTTTGTTCGTCAAAATTTACTTTTTCATTCATCTTAAAGCACTACTATTTAATTCTTAACTATTTAATAATTTCCATAAAGATATCTAGGAACAGTTTATGGGATATGTTCGATAACAAAACTAGGACGTAAAGATTGTGACCATCTTAATTTCCATGTTTACTTGATTCTCCATGGGATAATAAAAATAAAACGAGGCCATTTTACAAAATACACAAGACAGCTTTAACCATGTCAGTTTAATTACATCACACAGTGAGGCACAAGCAAAGGAAATCAAATAAAATGATGTTCAATCTCCTACTTTTCTGCACCGACTGGGCTAATGAAGGCGGGCATACACCATGCAGAGTGCTACAAGCAGGGCTGGGGTAATGGTAATGGTAATGGAATGTAATCATTACAGTTTTTAAGTAATGGCCATGTAATGAGTAATGGAAATTTTGCCTGGACAGCGACGCTATTGCATAATACTCTTATATCAAATTCTAACTTCAATCCTTCATTACTTGACAAAGGGGAGCCACGCCGGATATCCCAATGAACTTTCTCAGCCAATACCCAGATCGAGCATTGGACCTTCAGGTTAGCGAGCCAAAGTCTTACTGAGCCATTGTGGCTTCTGACAAGCAAGAGGAATACTGTCTGAAAAGGACAGCATTTTTATTGGACATTGTCTTTGACTGGTAAGTTATTTGCAGATCAGATGTATGAGATAATAAAATTGTATACACTACCTCCTTGTCTAACAAGGTATCAATGTGGGTCGAGGTGAGCAAGTTAAATTTCCAAAACATTGTTTACTGAAAAACATAAAAGAAATCCTGTAAATATGTATGCATTTTGAAAAATTATTAAAACTAAGTGTATGTAATTAAAATATGAAGACAAAGACGGACAATAAGTTAGCTCCATTATAGTTGGCATGAAAATCCCTAACAACATTGTGACTTTAAAATAATCCGGAGTCTAGACAGCGGATCAATACAATGTAAGGTTAGAATGAACCAGTCCTTTAAATAATTCGAGTGCTGGTGGACATATTATTGAAGCAATGGCTACGAGCCATACTAACTCAATACAAATTGGTACCATTCCATTCATTGACGCAAATTCCATGAATAATTTACATAAAATTCATCTTCAAATTGTTATGTACATGTACATATCCTTCTCAGTTTCATATTACCGGTATGCCATTTTCTTCTTCAGCACAAAACCCCATCATGAATAATTGTTTTATTACTGTTATTGAGATTTATCTATTAAGAGAGATTAACAATCCAGTTTGATTAATGAGACAGAGATGATTTAATAATAGGGCTAAGTCATTATGGTCCAACTACAATAATAAACAGTTATCTGTTAGGTCATAAAAGATGTGGCCTCAACAAGCAACTGAAATGTAGATCAGTACCAATACCACATGTGGATCAATCAAGATCAGTACTGATACCAAGGGGGGGGGTCAATCAAGATCAGTACTAAAATCACAGGTGTATCAATCAAGATCAGTAACAATGGCAAAGAGGTGTCAATAAGCTCTCAGTCAACAACAAGTATGGAATTCAGAAGTAAGAATAGATTGTCTGCGATATCACCTCGGTGGAAGCGGACGGAAAATACAACTAACTCACACACATACTCAGAAGTAAGATGGGAATTTGTGAACTCAACACCATGAAGTATGAAGGCCAAGAAGCCATTTAAAATTTTAAATGATTCTAAGAAGGATTTCACAGATACTGCCTAATTGCAGATTTCAAAATAGTCACTGTTCTGTTCTTCATAAATCACAGTGTGATAACTTTTACTTCAAGTGCTATGCTGTATAACAATATTCATAAGTTCTACTTTCATGAGACAAAATATTTCCTCATCCTATTAATTATTCTTCCTGGCCCTGCTAGTACTAAAATAGGCTAATAAATAATGTTGTGTTGTGATGTGTTGCATGCGAGAAGGGCAGTTGAATTTTGTTACGAAATAAAAACATTTAAAATCAAATGGGTGTTCATCAGTCTTTGACCGCTGAACAGTTGACAAGTACTAGTAGATCTAATCATTTGACATTGTAATCTAACTCGAGTCGAAGTCATCTGACCATTTGTTTATATAAATCTCTTCTTTTTTTTCTGACACGGCGGTTATTGATACAATAAAAACCTCTTTTAAAAATAAATATATGACCAATACATTGTCTAATTACTACGTTATTACCACTTACACTTGAATGATGCTTTCAATACTAAAAATAAAAACTGGTAGCGATATAAATGTATTTTTGATACTCTGTTATCGGGCACTATTTCTCCATTTTAATCTGTCTGAATGTGCACTCCTGTCCTTTTTAAACGTCTATTACGAGATCACCAAGGACTGGTGAGTTGAAATATTTCGTAAAATAGTTACATGAAGCTGTCTTGGTTAATTTTGTGGTATGACAGCAAAAAATATAGCGTAATTTTAACGAAATTAAAACACTTTTATGCCTTTAGGCGGGAAATACCAAAGTTCTTCCCAAAATGGCGTCCGCTGAACTATCAAGTCTCGTCCATCCCATAATTTGTGCGAGATCTCGCGCGGGGTCAAAACAGCTGTCAAGCTCGTAATCTTCAACCAACGTTAGTTGGATGGCTTCAGTGAATAAATACGTGACCACTGAGAAACGCAGCTTACTAAGTGTGAAAGAAGTTGGTCATTGTTAACGAGAAAAAGTCTCAGTGAAAAATTGGATAGATAACATTTGTTTTTAACTGACAGTCTCTTAAAAGGTAAAAATCATACTTATTTTTTAACATTTTATTTGGAAACAAAATGTGTTACTTGGACATGCGTAGATTCTCCAGGATGGTCGTTATGAAATAGATTCGTACACACACAACGAAAGAGACCAGAAGTAAAGACAAAACTTTAGGAGACGACAGCTGAACTAAAACGCCGCCAAGTAAAGCAAATTATTATTTTTTTTAATCTTTCAGCTTTCGAATGAATGTCATCTTTTCTTTGAACAGTTCATTTCTTCAAAAAAAAAAAAAGAATGTCGGTGTCTCTCATTCGAACAAGGAAACGTTGTCGTTTTTGAAATTTTTAAGAATTACGTAACAAATTTTATAATACTTTGCGTGTAAGAATTTATTTTAAAGCTATGGACAGTTTGTGATGTGAATTGTGGGTTGACATTCCTAAAACATCTAAATACTTTGCCATCAAAAAACTTTTTTTCCCCAGAAAATAAAACAGGAACAGCGCGAAATTTTCTGTGTCTGCCGACTTGACAAAGGACGCTTCGCTGCGGCGGGCCCCATAATTACGTAAAAGCTCAAAGAAAAAAAACCGTGACAACTGTTTAGGGATCTGGGTCAATGAACGGAGGACACTTTTCAGTGAAAAATATGTTTTCAAAATTTGTCTTGAATTGATTTTTCATCAATTTTGTCATAGGAATGTCAGGGCGGATTTTGATTCGCGAATACGGAGTGACGTAGGCAGAAGTCAACATGTCTGTCTGCTTTGCCCCAGTGACCGATGAATAAATCATTATAATGAGAGTATATTAAGCTTGATCCTTTTCCAGCTGCTCGTTACTCGAAGTGTACGCGAGAGAGGAACAAGTTTACGAGTGATTGTGTATCGTGCTGCTGAGCTTTCTTGGATACGGCTTTTTTTTAGGGGGTATGAGTACTGTTCAATTTATTGTATGCATGTCTTCTCAAGTTAGCTGTGATGTCGGGATATCATAATTTGTAAAATGGAAAAATAATTTATTGTACCGACAACTAACGAAATTCGCACTTGTTCGATTCAAAGATTTATTGCCTGTGGATAATTTACGTAATTTGTGCATATTTAACCTAGTAACAGCGTACCGACTGAACTAGAGCAAAGGCAAGGGGCCAATGAACTCAGCTAGGTTAGCCCGCCATGGATGGGTGATTTGCCGCCGCTCTTTACAAATTGATCTCGTTTAGGGGATCGAAAACGCAATCGAAATTTGTGACAGCGGGAAATTTTTGTAGATAGGGGATTTGTTTATAACATATAATGCTTTCTGAGGTGTTGTCATTGATTTTTGTGAAGTTTATCGGTGCTCAAAGATCTTCGCTTTATTCAGTGTCACGCAGTACGCGCCTCACATAGTAAAGCAACGACTTGTCTGAGTGGGCGTTACTTATAAATTACATATAAAACTAGGTACATGTACCAACACTCTAAAAAGGCGTAACTTGACTACACAAAGCCAGGATTGTGTGTGTGTGGGTTAAACTAAACCTCAGTCTTAATGAGTCACATTTTCAATGTGTGTGAATTCGTTTTTAAAAGTTTCTTAGTACTACTCGTAGATCTATAAGTTGATGGGATTCTAAACTAGCGACACTATAGTTTTTTTTAGGCCTCCTTACTTATAGTTGTCATTCTTAAAATAATTGAGCAGGTATAATGATTTTCTTTGAAATATCAATCGGCTTTATGTGCCAAATCACTAAGGAAAAAATTATTAAGAAATTGATTTCCTAGTTGTGAATTTTTATATGTAGTTAATGACATTCACATTCTTTAAAAATTTACTTTCCAGTGTTTATGATTTTATTTCTCTATGAAAATAATTCTTGGATGTTTATTTAATTTCAGCAAATATTGGATCATAATGTTCAGTTTTCACAAACCAAAAATTTATCGCAGCATAAATGGCTGTTGTATCTGCCGTGCGAAGTCCTCGAGCTCTCGCTTTACGGACAGTATCAAATATCAGGATCAGTTTGAAAAGTGTTTCCGGATTAGAGATTCACGACATGGAGAAATATGTAATGCGTGTGTTTTATTGGTGAAAAGATGGAAAAAATTACCAGAAGGAACAAGCAGACATTGGCATCATGTAAGTAAACAAATTTTTACATTAACACACTCAACATTTACAAATCTTCAGTGATTCTTTGTTCATCTACCTGAATTTTGAAAATGGATTTATTTACATGGAAGCTAGATAAAAAAAAATGAGGTGTAATGCTCAAGTCACATTAACTGTATTATTACACTGAATTAACATCGTGATTAAGTTCAGATGGAGTCTTACTTAACAAAAAAAAAAACCAAGAAAATAACTGTGGACAGATTTTGAAATTTCTTCGGGGGTTACACTCTATTATAAAATGGGAGAATATGATTTACTGGGAAAACAAATGAGCAATTCTAAAACACTTACTGCCTTAATAAATTTTTTATTTGTGGGAATATTTTTTTGTGAAATCGAATTTAAACAACCTGAGATAACATAATAAAGGTTAGTGGTAAGGGTTTTATAATTGTTTATTGATATTGCTTGGTTTTGTGGTAAATCGAAATGTCTGATGGCTCAGGCCTTGATAGCATGCACCACCTTCTTAATTCACCTGCAGACGCTAAATTCTTTTTTTACAAACAGAAATAGATACTAATCATGAATGTACATGTATAATAAGATCAATACAGGTCTAGTCAAATTTAATACGTAATGTCTTTTATCTGACAGCTGTTCGTGAACATTTCATACCCTTTCATTCAAACATTTTCCTATGTCCAGAACAGGAAATTCATTTAGGAAATGACATTTTATAGTGTTAATAGCAGACCTATCTGTACATCAGTTGTGTAGGCTACCATACAATTAAATCATCAGCAGGCCAGAATAAAAGATAGTACACAATCACAGGTACTTTTATTTTAAAACATTTGGTCTTAAATTTTTGAAATCGATCAGATTTAAGTACAATTCTGACCATTTAAAGCTTTCTATTTATTTCACCTCACCATTATCTGTATGTGACAGATGAAACAATGATCTAACTCTGCACCTTTGAGGGAGAGTACCATGTAGTTACCAAGTAATACGGAAGTCAAAATTATTGGCATGTCAGCACATATTTATTATACTACATTTACACAAATGTTCTTGACACTATTAAATACGAGACAACTATATTATAAGAAACCATAGAAACAAACATGAAACTTGGATTTAATTTCATTTCATTTACGGTCTGTACTACACGTACAATAATAATGATTTAATTTACTTGATAGTGTGCCTAAAATCAAACTCCACTAGGTGCCAATATAAACAAATTCAAACATATCACAGTTAGATCAACAATGAATAAAAAAAAATATGTAATAAAAACAAAAATGACATTTTTAAAAGCTATGCACTGAATAATCTGCTAAACTGTTTAAACATTTACACAGACAATGGTCTCAGTTTCATTTGATGTGTTGATACATGATAGACTTGTAATCACTCTCAATCTGTCCATTGTTGTCTGAATTTATCATTTTCTTAGATCTTAAATAAATTAGATTAAACTGAAACAAAGGCTATTTACTTAGGTTTGGCATTTCTTCAGGCTGGGCTCTTTAATCACTAGGCCTATTTAAATAACAATCTGGTCAGAGTTAATTACAATTGGGTCACCTCAGGGTATCTTTTTAATCTGCAAGTAATTAATTAATTTAACCCCCTTCATTTGGTAAATAATTCAATTTAAGTTGATTATCTTTAAGATCTGATTGTGTTTAGATCTTACGATTTATGACACTTCTTTTTGAGAAGGTTTTATTTTGATGGCAGCCATGTTAATATAAATGCTAAATTAAGATAAGCTTACATTTTAGTATTAGTATTTCTCACAGAATATGAAATGTGCATGATACTTTTTTAGTTCAAGGGGCATTTGACACTTAAGTTAAACATGAAAAAACTTAAGGATTATAATTTGTACACATTGAGTTCCTGTGTTTAAAAATGCAAAATGAATACAGAATAATAATAACAAAATCATGATACACATGTAGTTAGCCAGCCGAGCTGAAAATTATGATTTTAGAGTACAAAATGTCTGTCATTGAGTCAAGTGGTGTGGTTTTGATATTAAACCCACTTGTACGTGACAAGGAGTAGAGTCGTCTGTCCAACCTTGTGGGATTTCTTTGGGTCCTCTAGTTTCTTCCCACTGCTAAAAGACCCCTTGAAATAAAATTGAACCATATGTTAGTCCCAAAATGACCTAGTTTGTGTCGAGTGGACATTGAACCCCTATTCTCTCTCACTCACTTGATGACAGAAAAGGGATAACTCTGTGCTGGAAAAATTACAGGGACCAGACAGATTGTGCCTGGCGATGTCTGTGACACGTGCTGAAGTACCAGGCTCGCTAACATAGAAATACAGCATCATTCATTGCCCGACAGTTAGTGACAATGTCTCTGACAGGTGCCAAAATTCCAGGCTTGCTACCATATAGAAATACAGCATCATAAATAAAACAACTTATGACTGCTATAAATGTGAAAAATCTTGAAATTGTTATGAATGGTCTGTGTTTGTTTCTAATTATATATTTTAATAACAAAGAGAGAAAAAGTTCAGTCATGACTGATACAATGATAACTGGATCAGAGAATAGATTGATTTTCCGATTATGTACATATCAACATAAAACCTTGACCACAGATTCACACGTTACTTGCACTGACTGTTGTAGTGTTGATGTTGATTTTATGTATTGACAACGAACAACAATAATATAAATATTATACTTGCTGACCAGTGTCCAGCATTAATTTTTATTTTATGTAGATTGTATCTAGATACCTACATATGATATACCATAGCTCTATTTGTAACAGATTATTTTGTCACTCCTGTTAACAGCATGAATTATAATTATTTATTATACACTGGTTTAACAATCCAATAAATTCAATCAGCTTTCTCTGGAACCCAGATATGTTAATTTATTCTCCTACTAACCTTAGTTTGACCCCAGTCACAAAATTTATAACATTGCACACATAGAGAGAAATAATGTGGCTTAATAGAGCTAAACGTTTTTCATTTAGGTAAAAAATAAGAGTATTGAATCTGGCTGATCTGATGTGTTATTTCAATTAGTGATTCAAAATTAATTGAACCAAATGTTTGACAAAATTTATGAGAAAATTGCACACATTGAGAGAAATAATTTGGTTTAAAGGAACTAGCTAGCTAAACCTCTGATATAATGGTCAAAAAAAAAGTGTACAGAATGGGGCTGATGTGATGTGTTATTTCAATTAATTATTGAAATATTTTGTACAGTATTTTAATGTATTAGTATTAGTCATCCACAATTTATACTAATACCCGAAAGTGATTTAAATGAATTATTGCACATATATATATCAGTAAAGTCATCAAAATTTTGTATATATATAATTACTTGGATGACAAATTTTTAAAATATTTTCAATGACTAATTTCGTTTAAAACTTCAAAGAATTTGGATGAATTTGTTTTTGATTAAAATTTTGATTGAAGTGTTTAGAAAATGACTAACTGTCAAAGTGGTGGGAGATCTTTCGACTTCGTTCCTACGCCCACTTTCAAGGAGGGTGACATCGCAGACAAGCTTTTTCTTTTTCTCTAGGTAGTCTAATTTCCTGCCACTGCAAAAGACAGTTACACAAATATGCATTATTGCAATAAAATTGTACCATACATGTAGTTAGTCCAATAAAGAGATTAAAGACCTGATCTCTCTCTCCTCCCCCCACCCATCCCCTCAAAAAATGTTATGTACTGACATAAATAAGTTGATGATTATCACTATAAAGGTCAACAATCCAGGTTATAAATTCAGGTGATGAAAGATTATATCATTGCCATAATTTTATGTGAAGATAACTTGTTTGTTTATGTAATAAGTAACCTGACACGATGACAGTTGAGGTGCTTGACATTGTCAAGATTGTCACATGGATTGTCCCCCCAAAGTCAAAATGAAAAGTACATCTCTATTGTTTTGATTTATGACCACCTACGCCAAAGAAAAATAGAAAAGGATGTTGAATACTAATTACATGTAGTAGCACACAATAACTCTAGCTGTTCACCTACACAAATACTCAAGATAGGTGATGAAATTACTGTTTAATACACAAACCATGTCATAGATACTGATGTGTCTGTCATGTAATACCTGTCACTACAGTACAAATACATGTACATGTGTATCAAGGAAGCTACTGTGTAATATCTAATACACATGTTATTTTAATTACCAATATACAACTCCCAATACATAATACACATTATCAAGGAAGCATAATACACAAACCATGTAATTATAGATACCAATATACAACTGTCTGTTACTCCCATTTCACATGTAATACATGTGTATTGAGGAAGCTTATTGTGGAATACAAAAACCATCCAATTCTGAGTACCAATGTTCTGTCCATTCATACATGTATAAGCAAACCATGTCATTTTAGATACAGCAGTGTCTGTCACATCCTAATTATGTAATAAAAGTCGTACGAGGAACACAGAAATTATACTTGTCTGCGATATCACCTCGTTGGAAGTAGACGTAAAATACAACTAACTAACAACAACAACACAGAAATTATTAAATGATTTTATCCCTTCTTGGCAATAAGTGCCCTGTTGTAATAATAAACAGTAATTCTGTGTCATAACATCCAATGTTTACTTGAACTATTTCAAGGTAATTAATTCTAAATATGTGCCCCACCTTGATTGAAGTATGTATGATGACTAAGTGTATAGCCATGTATAGTTCAATGCCTTATTACATTATGACAACAAAATACCAACTGTACTCAAGGAATTCTTGTTAATTCATGCATTAACACACTTGACTTATTAAAGTTTACTTATGGATGAATGATATCTGGTAAAGAAATTCAATTTCTTATGCCGAGAGAATACTTGCTGTGTGTTACAAATGTTCTTGTAGTAACCTTTACTTGGAGTTAGCTTACAAATTACAATCCATCAATGGAACACTAAAACCAGCAGGCATGTAGATAGTATTTTGATAAGCCGAGGAAAAA